TTAGGTTAGACCCACAGTAGTAGGAGAACACAGCAGTGACCAGCTGCTTTTGAACATTTACATGAGTGCTATAGCACATGTATAGCAAATGTTGGCTTTCTAGGACTCCCCAAAGCTATTATAAGATACGATTCTTCAAAGAGTTGAGGTTGAACCTTCATTATACGCTCTGTAATCCAGTAACAGCTCAGAAATACTACAATATGTCTCTGGTGGATGATGTCACACAAGTTAAACAATAACTTTCATTCAAATCATCACCAGCTGTTCTTGTTTGACATATTCAAATCAAACACCCCTATTCCTGGAGAAACGCTAGAGGGCACTTCAAAAGGAAGTAGATTTTTATATGTGGGTGAAAATTTCAAATGAAGCTGACAAGTTTGACACACAATGAATTGAAAGCCAAGTCTCCTGTGCAGTCAGTGCTATGCTTGGGGCCATGTGTGAGCTAGCATTCCTGTCGGGCTCTCCCAACTTTGTCTTCAGCTGCTGGCTTGCTCCAAATGGCTGAATAAACAGAGGAAACCACAATTTTGCATTAAAACAGATACAGATAACAGAAGCCGTCTGGAAGCGATCACAAAGAAGTGAGCATGACTAACTTGTTGCTCATATACTTATATCTGGGATCGGTTCAGCTCATTTCTGCATAACCAGTTTTGACCCTGTAGGAGTGAGTCAACATCAGAACCACGACGTGGCGACGCAAAGCATAAATCACAAGGATGGTAAAAAAGGAAACAAAAGCACGTGAGTCAGGACCAAAACCCTCAGTGGAATTTGGGCTGGTCTTATTAATCCTACCTCACAACATCCTTGTTGAAGCTAATTAGATAAACAAGCAAGCCGGAAATCAACGGGCAACTTTATCCCATAATGACCCAAAACAAACTGTTAGATCTGAGGAAGTATCTCTTATTTATCTCCACTCCTAATGTTGGCTGACTCAGGCATGAACCTGGGTTTGGGTCAATATATAATCACCGTTTGTCTGCAAGCAACAGCTGTATAATGACACCATATAAAAAACACATCTAATCAGGGAATTGATTTTCCATTTATCTTTCTGTTTACCAATACAACCCCCAAACAGTTGTGAAGCTTCCTGTGAGCTTGGTCTTTCATCAGACACAGATGGTCACTGATCAGAGGGAATCCATCACTTTTGACAGGACGCCGTGTCCATATTAAAGGGAGTGTGACTAAAGACAGACAGCCGTGTGTTCAGGGCACACAGGTCACTTTTTTGTTTGTATCAATAATCAAAATGTGACAGCCACCTTGCATCCGACCAATGTCTCTCAGGAGCACCTGTCTCATATATGTGTGTTTAATTTGTTTCAGCGAAAATACATAAAATTAGCTGATAGGTAAACATATAAACCCACTCATAATGCGTGTGCGAGCTTTAAGTGTTAGTTAAACTTACGGATTTTCACTTTCTTTGGATCCAGCTTTAAGACTTGGCTCTGCAGATTGTGCAGCCGTCCTTGGATCCTGCAGGACCTCCTAAACACCATCCCTGCCTCCATTTCAATGTCCAGGAAGATGTCGCTGGCATGTCGGGAGAGGTCTGAAAGCTGCTGGATTATGCTGGTCAGCGTATGACAGCTAACCTCGTCTGCAGACGAGAATAAAACAGGTTTTCGCAGTTTGCGTCTCCCGGGTTCCTCTCTCGGTTTCCAGCTTTCCCTCGCTGATAGCCTACTCACACGGCGCGGCTCAACAGTCCTCTGGTGAAAGGGCATATTCAAATCATATATGTAACTTCAGCAAGTCCGAAAGTATTCACAACAATAAAACAAACTTCAAAACAACTCAGAGAAAGGCCACATTCCCGAGGTCCTTTTTCTTGTCGAGGGAGTGTTCCCTCAATCCCGCCATATCTTATTGTTTTCCAAAGCATGGGACTTTGTGCTGCTGCTGTACACCGGAGGAGAGACGTTGCCTCTCAAAGTCTATTCAAATTCATCCAGACACGGTGCAGGCTGGAGGAAAAAAACACCAGGAAAAGTAGGGGGCGAGAGCGAATAAAAACCCGGAAATAACAAAAAACCACCTATGGCAACTGGAGCGGGGCGGCTTACCTGCCCTCTATCGAAGAGAGCTTCAAGAAAAACACGGAGCGGATTTCTCTGAGATATGAGAAATATCACGGAATGGAGTGTAAACTTTTGATGCACATTTTTCCTTTTAAAAAGGAAATAAACTATTAACTAACATTAATAAAAAAACACAGAATGCAATATATATATATATATATATATATATATATATATATATATATATATAAATATGTGGCAGTAATGTTAAATACAATCGTTAAGTGAACTTCCTTTGTGATTACGTGGTTCAATTAGTCAATTAGTTAGCAATTAGCTTAGTTTTAGCACACCCAAAAATTATTATAAACTCCAGGGTATTGCAGTTGTAAAGTACGAGACAAACGTCACTGTTAAACTTATACATTATCTCGCATCATTCGCCATTGTTTTTTAAACAAACGTCAGCACAATTTGTAGCTTTAGCTAACGTTGACAACAAATTGTCATTTTGCTAATGTTGACAACAAATACTCACAAGCTTAAGCTCCTCATGAGCTGTTTTTACATTTACAATTAAACCATTTTAATAGAACACAACAGTACCTGGAGAAATTAGTAGTTTTGTTGAACTTTTTAAATTGACCTCCTCCAGGAAATTCTCCGAATGCTTGACTCTAATGTATTTCTTGTTCAAGGCCTCCACTGTCGGACTTTTCCCTGAGGTTCTTACTTTTTACATACAAACTTAAACTTTTAACCATCGCTTTTAATATAATTGTTTTCTAAATTGCAGAAAAACGACTCCACCTGTGTTTTTCATACTAGTCCAGTTTCCAGACTGTTACTTCTAGTGCGCCCCCTATTGTCTGGTAGTGAACTCTACAACTTGACCAAAACCGAGTTTCTACCGATGGTTTCTACCCATGAAAGTCAGTTTTCTCATTACTCAGCAAACTGGAAATCTTCCAACTTTCACTTCCTTCCAAGTGAAGATTTGTTGTGTGGCAACAGGTTAAATTGCTAAAAGGCTGATGAAATCTATTGTTGAGACACATCATGGAAAATCAATCAAAGCAAAGTTGAGCATCCTGTCACACATGAGTAAGATCCGTGTTTGTCCTTCCCTCAGCAGAAAATGTGTTCAACAGGAAAGCAGCGTGAGGCCAACACTAGGGCTAGGAGATGTATGATTTTTTTATACCAAATGTGACTTCTAATCCTAAATTTAAAGTGTGAAAAACAAGGCCTTTTATGTTTTGGTATCAGATTTAAAATAAAATAAAAAGAAGTCACTTTTTCATTGAATGATACACTGATTATGTCTCATGGAAAGCAAGCCTTTAAAATGAGTAAGAATAAACAAAAATACTTTTAAAAAAGTGCAGTGTTGGACACAAAAATGCAAACCAGGAGGAATAAATTCAATTAAATTCCATCTTTTAGTTCTTTTTAAAACACAGAAAGGTCAGCCTGACGAAGTTTGCAGCCGCAAACGAAACGTTGCAGGTAAATAAAACCTGTGTTTTGAAAAGAAGATGGAATTGGAATTTCAACACAGCAAGAACACACCAAAGATATTCAATTAAATTGTTCACAGTTTCAAAGGAGCTGTTTTTTAACATTTTTTTTAAATGATCCCTTTGAGATCAAAAACGTATTTTCAAGGGAGACCTGGCAAAAATAGCCAGCAGAAGCAGGAATATAGCATGCAATTTAACATGTTTTGAATGCATCTTTGGGGCTGCATGGTTGAAAACATGTTGTCTCACACCAAGAAGGGTATGGGTCATGTCTGGAGACTCTAATTGTCCCAAGGTGTGAGAGAGTGACCTGTCCAGGGAGTTCTCAGTCTCTTGCTGGACAGCCACTGAAGACAAGCAACAGCTTCCTATGACCCTAATGAGGACGCAATGGTTCAGATAGCAGGTGGTTTTATTATTTTATAATCCCGTGAGATCTTTCTCAGCTCTCACCGGGGCAGCCAGTGGATCACAGAGACCTGTGGAAAAGATCGTCTTCCCTCTCTCCATGCCCCACTCACGTCATGGAGCCTTCGTCAAGAGCCACCAGGAGGTGTAGTACCCCAGGTAGACCACAAGATGGCGCGTCACTACACCAAACCAATGCGTCTGCAGAGCTGACTCCAAGGAGAAGGGTCAGAACCAGTTTAACTTCCAGAGGCCAAGAAGCCACAAACAGAATGCAAATAAAAGCTTAAATTAAGCAAAAGGTGTATCTATTAGTAAATAATCATAGAAAACAAAAAGAATAAAGTAAGTTAGACCAAAAATTCAGCTTCCAGTTCTAATTTTAACCCTTTGATGCATAATGGTCACTACAGTGGACAGGTACTCAAAATTGTTATTTGTTTTTGCTTTTAAGCACAGCTGTTGAAAACTTTATTGCATTTGAGCCCCTCCGTTTGGACTTCAGTAAGCCAAGCCAACATATTTCATGCTCAGAATGCACGCTGCCCACTGAGATGGACATGTAATAAATTATTTGTAAATTATAAAATTTTACAAAAAATATTTGTTGAAATTTGTTTCATTCACACCTAAAGACGAATGAAAAAAAATTGTTTAAAAATCATGGTTGAAGATTTCATAATTAATGCATCAAAGGGTTAACTTTGATTGAACAATTTATAAAGAAACCATTCTATATGCAGGCACATCTGTGAACAGCTCAATGTTGATGATTTAAACGTCACTTTATGCAGTTGGGATGCTTTTCATGACAAGTGAGCTGGAGGTTTTTATTGGTTTCCTTGCATTCTTCACATTACCTACTTGGGTTAAAAATAATAAAACTGAAACCTATACATAACAGGAAGAAAACAGTCTGATTAAGGCAATTTAGACTTGATGTACTGCTAAATATATTCTACCAAATATATTTAAAAAAAAACACCACAATGCAGTTACAAGTTAAAATAACAAAGCAAACCGCTCCAGAGAGGAAGAAACGTTTAATCAAGATTAAATATACGCCCAAAAAGATTTTTGCAATTTACAAGTTCTGAAATAATCAAAAATACAAAAAAAAAGTGTCATACCAATCAGGTCTTACGGTTTCATACCTTTAATGAGTCACGGGGTAAAACAAAACTCTTTCACCTTATAATACAGTGCAAGTTAATTTGCAGAACCACAGCCTTCTTCCATACCTGAAAACCCCTGTACATAAACCTGTTTATAGAATATTTACATACAAGGCTTGAACGAATCAAACCAATTCATGAACAGAAACAGAAACCACGACTGTGGAGTAGGAAGGTAATGGAAGTGGGTTATTAAGATAGATGTTGAAAATAATCCCAAATCAGAACCAGGTGTGTAGGAATTATACTACATGTATACAAAAAAAAAGCTAGATTTTATTAAGAGACGAAAGAAACAATTTCTCCCCTCCCCCCCAAATCGTTTAGAAATCGGTTCACGCAGAACAGGTAACACACGAGATGCACAAATGAGACAAATGGCGATGGCGTCTGGATCAGGAAAAGGCCAGTTCACTCACAATAACAGATGATGACTGAGAACATGAGGCAAATCATGGCAGGAAGAACCAAAAAAATAAAAGAAATGGAACAGTGATTCGTTTTATGGATTCCAGAACAATGCACAAACGTAACAGTGAGTCATGACCCACAAAAATCTATTGGCGAGTGTCACTAGCATGCCAGAACCCCACAGATACATCAGATAACCTAAATCCCTCCAAGAGTCATTTTTGTGTGGAGAACTGACGTTTAAAAGAACACGCGCAGCTGACCGAGTCAATAAATGACTTCTAGACTGTACTTCATAAAAACTTGCAGAGCTTTTTCCAACTTCTGCTGCCTGTCAGGTCAGATTTAACTCATAAAGGTGAATATTTATGTGCAGGAAAGCCCAAACAGACCAGTTTCTCCTCACATCTTTATGCGAGCATGTCGTTTAAAGAACAGAACACACAAACGACTCACCACAAAAATACAGAATGCTTGAGTGGACAGATGTTTCAGAATAAAGCAAAGACCAAGCGGGCGTGTGTGAAAGGCGTAGTGTTATGAAGCACATCTGCAGCATCACTTCATTTCCTACACTTTCTGTGTTCTTACAGGACGAACAACCACTGCTTCGGTGGCTCACAGTGTCGGACATTCCCAAGTTTCCAGCCAGTTGGTTGTGAGAATCAGTCAGGGCACAAGCAGCCACGAAGCCTTGTTGGACTGGGCCGGGCCAAGCCTGGTCCAGAAGAGGAGCCCGGGGGGGGGTGTTGAGTAGTCAAATGCAAGTTAAGGACAATCGTACAGCTTGGTGTGTGTGTGTGTGTGCAGGAAGGACAGGTAGTGACTTTAGGACAGCAATACACACTCTTCTCTCGGGGGTTTAAAGATGTTTGTAGACACACATGCACACACACACACGCCTCAAATAGTAATCCAATCTTCATAAAGGGGCTCCAGATGTGTCCCCACTTGTGGTTGATGTCCATAATGAATCAATTCTCCCTTCACACACACACACACACACACACACGCGCGCGCGCGAACACACACACACATCTCTCTTGGCCCTCCCGTATCTTTTTTCAGGCTTATCTGGTGTAGTAGACTCTGTAGTAAACACTCTTGGAGCGCCAGAGCGAATACGAGTTGTCAAACTTGAGTAGGTAGACTCCGCGGCCGGGGTACTGGTGGCTGCCGGCGTAAACCTCTTCGTGACAGTCCCGCCGGTAAACCGGCACAATCTCATCCACGTGGGGCTTCCCTGACTCCTTCTTTGCCTTCTCCTCTTCGTTGGAGGGATCTCCTGTGGGCACAAGAACCACATGTGTTGAGAAAAAGACCAACCCACTGGATCTTCCTATGGAAACGTTGCTTTAAGTAAACCCTAATCCACGTGTCTTCTTGAAACCCATTACCTTCTTCCTCCTCATCTTCTTCACTGGACTCTGACACATGCACGCTGACTGAAGCAGAAGCAGTATCTGTCCACTCAAAGAACACCCCAAAGCCGATGTCGTAATAGTCTGTGGCAAACTCCCAGAACAGGTAAGATCCTTCTTCATGGGTGGGAACGCGCACTGTGACCACCTCGCCACGCCCCACCGTGATCACGCTGTCGGGATCCTGGCGGATCTTCTCCTTGAAGTCCTTGATCTGTGGCCGTGTCCACATCGAAGGAGCCGCTATAACTGGTGGGGAGTCTGCTGGGGCCAAAGAGAAGGAAACGTTTCACTGATGCAATCAAAAACATTTAATCCTTTTATTTACTTCCAGGATTCAGAAAGCGACAAAGTCACAGACCTAATAAAGGCCCGTTTTCTGAGACCTCCTCTGCCGGCTCAGGCTCCCGATCCATGCTCTCCGAGTAGGAGTCTGACTGACCTCCGTTGACCGTGGGAGCTTCCTCGCTGTTGAGTGGTGAAGCAGAACTCAGGTGTCCAGCTGCTGAGGCAGAAAAAGGCTCCCGGCCGTTAGAATCCACCTGCATCCCTGAATCGGCCTGATGCTGCTTCTGTAAGGCCGCCTGGGACAAGAAAAAGGTGGCACAAGAATCTCATGGATCTAATTAAATAGAAAAGTTAACCTTTATGGTGCATTTGGCCAGTCATTATTATAAATATCCATCAATCAAGTATGGATTATAAGACTAGAATCAAATCCGTGGAATGTGAGCCGCTGTGAGCCGACGTCCTACCTGCTGCTGGGCCAGCTGGACCTGGTAAAGCTGCTGCATGTACTGCTGGTAGTGCTGCTCCTGAAGCTGCCGGATAAGGCTCAGCTGTTGCTCCGGGCTATTGGGGTACTGCTGTGCAGCGTACTGCTGGAACTGCACTGCTGTCTGAGCATTCAGCGCCGCCATGATCTGTTGTCTGGTTAAAGTAACAGAAGGGAATAGAGCAGGAGGTTGTTTCAGCCTCATGCGGACGCTCCTGAACAGGGCTGCAACGGATCATCATTGATCCGTACGGATCGCTCTCTACTGTTCGGCACGCACGCGGTTCGCGAATTGGTCACGCGGAGGACGGAGGCGCTACCAGTTCAGTTCAAAGGAGAAACACACGCCGGCGGTCACGGAGGCGGCGAGGAGCTGGAAAAACCTCCTGCCTTGCTTAGGGCACACGTATGGGAGCATTTTGGCTCTCCTGTAAAATACAATGAAAACGGCGAAAATTAACACGCTCACACGCCTCCAGTCCGACCCCTGCTTTCCACTGGCCGTGAAAGCAGTCGCGTAACGCGATGGCGTCGTTCTACCCGCGAGCTCGTTCCCGACCGGGAGCAATTCTGATGTGAAACGGGAGTGAAAGCGTTCCACGCAGCTGAACCTGTGACGTCATGAAATCATGGGAGGATTGCAACACCACACGTGATTTCAGACGTTCACACACACACAATAATAAACAAGAAGAAAAACAGCCGCATGCGTAAAAAAACATGTCTGTGGGTTACGTTCTAATCGGTTTACATCAGTCACACAAGTTCACAGGAAATGCCGGTGGAAAGGAACTCATCCGCTGTAACGGTGGCTAATTGCCGCGCAGTACGTTTAGCAATGTTTTCACATGCAGTGGGCAAGCCATTTTAACATTTAATCAGAAATAGGACATCTCTGTAACTCCTGCTTTTATGGCAAGTTGCAAATTGAGCGAAAATGTTGCACTGAGTGTTCTATAAAATAACGAGTGAGCAAAGCTATGATCTGAACCGTGAGCTTTTTGATCCGTCGCACCACTACTCCTGAAGCGACCCACTTCACACAGAATCTCAAAGCTTCTAAACTCAGAAGAAATCAAATCAATGGCCTTGTGACAACAGATAGCAAGCTAATGTTTAGAGCTGATTTTACACAAACATCTCAACAACACGTACTTCTGCTGCTCGATCCGCAGCCTCTCCTCCTCTGCTAGTCTCCTCTCCTCCTCCTCTCGTCTCAGCCTTTCCTCCTCTTCAAGTCTCCGTCTCTCTTCTTCCTGCCTTTGTCGCTCCCTCTCCTCCTCCTCTAACCTTAATCGCTCCTCCTCTTCTTTCCTAAAAACAGAACAAACGCATTTTGCTTAAAAACTAAACAAAAAACAAGGAAACGTTTCAGAAATTCTATTTTATTTTCTTGAAGGGTTCGCCACTCGTCTAAGGAGATCTGGTTAAATCCATGCTCTACCTTTTCCTCTCTTGCTCTTCCCTCTCGATCTTGTGTGATATGACATAAGGAGCGAACAGGTTACAGCACTGGTTTAGTAACTTGACAAACTCCACCATAGCCTCTTCTTTCTCCATGCTTCCTAGGGAAGCCCACTCTTTCCTGCAGCCAGAACATGAACATAAATACAATACAATATAATTTATTTTCGTAAAAAAGTATTAAAATAAATAAACTAAAGCTGTTGGCTGGGGTTACCTGCGGTCATTTCCCAAGACATCGAAGAAGCCGACTTCTGGTGAAGCATCGGGATTATAAGGGCCCAGTAGGACTTGTTTGTGGAGGGCCACCAGTCGGAGTTTCTCTTCATAAGTTGGGTGGAAGGCTTTGCCGTCTTTATCTATGAGCAAAGAGCAGAAATATGGTGGAAATTCGTTTGCTTATGAAGGTCCAGCCACACTCCACCATGCACCAGAATTTTGCAATAAAAAAAACTTGTAAAGCAAAATGACTGAGTAAAAAAAACATGAAATATAATTTAAAATGAGTGTAACCGCCCCCCTCTTCTTTCTTTAAAATCCAATGTTACACCCCCAAATCAGGAACGGTTGAATCCCAGTGTCAGAAAGTTCTGCTAAACTACGTTGAAGTAGGAGATTTAAGCTCAGGTAGGTAAACAACGACACCTCACCCTTACCTGACACACCAGCAGGAAATGCAAAGCAGAGATTTCTAATGTGCAGAGTAGCAACAAGCCCCAAACCTGTTTGTGCCGCCGCCAGAAGCATTGTGAAGTAGTAAAAACAGCTCTGAGTCAAAGTAGCAGCGATCCCTTTGAAGGATCTGCACACGACGACTGTTTATCTAGCAAAATACGATCATGTGACTTTTGAGGAATTTAAAACGGGAGGCATATTCAGTAGCATATATGTTATTATACCTTTTTGTGTAGGGAGGGAAAGTAAGTATCAGACTACTTACTAATGATGGCCAACTACGTGATGACAAAGTTAATTTTGGATGGATCGTTCACATTAGTTGTGTTTGGATACACGGATGTAAGAAAATTGTTTTGCAAATGAAATGAATGACAACGTGTCAAAGACACGCGTGCGTGAATAAAAGCTACTCGAGCGTTTAAAATGCGTTTAACCCATTCATAGCTAGCTAACATGTTTGAAAGCTAATGTAAAGCGACTGGTGGTGACAGTTAGCAGCTAGTGTTAGCAACATGCTAACCTTAAACACCAACCAGCACGAGAAAAAATGGCCTCAGAATGCAACAACCATTTTAAACACTAGCTCTCCATTCGGACCGGACTCATTAAGGTTTCTAAAAACATAAAATACCTTTAAAAAATTTAAGAGCCATTCCGTACAGCTCCTGTAAAGGAAAGCCCCATTTCCTTTCCATGGCAGATTTCTCTCCATCTTCGCCCCCATCGGCACCCGGCGTATCGGTCTCTGATTCCGACGGGACGGGGTTCGGCTCCTGGACCTGGCTCTCCTCGCCCTCCGGGTCTGGACTGAGGGTGAGGCCATCGATGGAAACTTCGAGCCGGCTGGACGTAGCGCTGTTGAGGTCGCCGCTCTGAACCTCTGTCGCCATCATGTAGACTGTCAGCTGAAGCGGCCACGTACCTACTTCCGGTTAAACCTGCCGGAAGTTCCGTTTTATCTCCATTTAAAAAGTGACGTGGACCAGACTCAACCTGGGACTTATTTATTTATTTATTTATTTATTTATTTATTTATTTGTGTCTAGTACATATTTATTTAATTTCTTTAATAAATTGGATGTATTTAATGAATCGGCACAAATATACAAAAACAAGAAAAAATAGTCAATTTAATCCTTTATTTTTATAGAACTGCATCACAACAATGGGCTTTTCTGATTAATACATAGGCTAAGTATAAATATATCAGAATAAAACAATATATAAGACATCTACACAAAAAGCCCTGTCCTATTCAATATGTGATTCAATTCACCCAATTCATTCCAAATATTTTCTGCTACAACTTGAACAAATAAGACCCAGGTAAATGTTGCCCAATTTAACGTAACTATTATGCAATTCAGAATAACCTGATTTAGTAAATTAAAGCCATGCCAAATTGATTGCAATATACCTTCATTTGGATTCAGTCCCCATGTTGAGCTAAAGTGGTGATGAAAAATGATCTTAACAAACCTCCAGAACTAGCCCCAGGATGGGCAGCCATCTGTCTCCAACGGCTGGGAGTTAAAAGGACAGGAAAGAGAGAGCCAGACGAACACACCAGCAGTAATACTGCCCAAAGAAATACATTAAAACACACACACACACACATACACACACACACACACACACACACACACACACACACACACACACACACACAGAAATAGACCACAAAAAAAAAAAGATTAGAAGTGAACATATTTTTAAAGGAATACAAACCATTTTAAATGGGAAATTTCACATTACATTAGACTGGTAAAAAGTGACTCCAAAGATAGATTACTGGATAAAAGGTTTTAAAAATTACTTTAATAAAGGTAAAATGTAGCAAGTTAACCTCAAAATAACCCTGGAGTAAATAAAAATATATTTAAACTCACATAAAAGGACCTCAAAAACTACCAAAATGAGACATAATTTGTGACACAACTACGAAGTGATCACAAAGCATGTACAAAATAAAATGAATTACAGTTTCACATAAAACATCTGAAAGTGATTAAAGACCTTAAAACAAAAAACAATTCCATTTGTATGGTTTTATTTCTGCTTTGCATCCCTTACTGTTTAAATCCAACATGTATTCCTACCTCTTTTGTGTTTTTACATATGGGTGTGTGATTTGTTTGAAAATGTAGGCAAGTATCTGAAGAAAAGACTGCAGCACCGCCTCAAGTATGGAATACCAAATGTAAATTGCAGGTGCAAATGATTGGCAGACATTTTTTTTTATATTTAGGTCTTTTTTTTCTACATTTAGAAACTTTCATCACATTTAAAATAATGTTTAAATGTCACAAAATTTCAGCTAATCCATATGTAATAATAATCTAAATTTAAATGTCTATCTAAATCAGAATGTTAAATATAAATGTTAAATCTAAATCTAAACTTAAATAGAAACGATAAGGGCACATGTTAAATCTAAATGTAAAAAGTATACCTACAAGTTTAATCTAAACCTAAATATAAATGCTAAACTAATGTTTAATAGAAATCTATTAGATGTAGCATTAAGATTAGCTGAAATTATGACATTTAAACATTATTTTAAATGTGATGAAAGTTGGTAGATGTAAGAAAAATTAGCCAAATATCCAAAAAATGTCTGCTAAATAATTTGCACCAGCAACTTACACTTGGCATCCCATACATAAGAGGCCACTTAAATATACACAAGGCTGCCCTGATGACAGAGGGCATTTCAACATATCTTTGTAAACCTTTGTGGAAAATAAAGTCTGCTGAATAAAGTAAATAAATAACGGCGAGGTCAGACTGTTGACTGAGTCTTTAATGTGTGAACATGTGTTTGTTTTTGAGATTCAGAGGCTGCTGCTTACTGGAAACGGCTGGTAATCCACATTTGAGCTGCAGTTGTTTGTTTTAACAGAACCTAGATAACACAGTGCATCTACTTTCTATCTCTATGGGATAAAAATGGGAAAGTAAAAGTAAATGTCTATTGGAATTCTGCAATTGCATTGCTGACCTTGTGATTTTTCCTGGTCTTGCTCCTTCCCTATAAATTAGCATAGGAAGAGTGATATGTTTATTTGGTGTGCCGCAGCTTTCAGGGGGATTTCTCACCATCAGAGCAGGAACTATAACACTTTGATTTTAGCATAGCAACATGCCATGTCCTGCAGCCAATACCCATCCGAGCCTTTCAGACACAACGACCCGTCGAGCTGTGAACGACCCAACCAGCAACCTCATCCACCTGAACTAAACTGCAGGTGGGATCAAATAAGCACCGATGTAGATGTATAGGATCCAGACTCTTTCAGGTAACATTGGTAAAATACGTTCTTTATAACACACGTGTTCTGTTTTGTTTCACTCATGTTCTTTCTTTATCACATAGGGCACTCCTGCAATTTTGTCGTATTCCAGCAACATGAAGACAATTTGAAAAAGTGTTTTTATGTCTCATAAATGTGTTGCCAAATATGTAATGTCAGTGACTCAGCCACATTTAGAGCTGAATAATTTAAAATATGTAGATAAAACCTCAAAAAGAGCCTAAATAAATTGCTATCAGCTCTTACCACTTTCTATTGCTAATCCTGTCCAAACAAAAGGGAGGGCATTAGTCTCGACCTGATCCAGATCCCCCTCGATTTAAATAAAGACAACAGTAACAACACCCTTCCCCTGCAGGTTAAGTTAAAACATAGGTTTGTGTATTCAGATGAATTTTGTTGCCACTGAAAGGTGCAGGAAGTGTAAACCTGAGAGCATGCCTAGAAGGAGTATTTTCATGTTTAAATATAAATATAGGAGCCATTTTTGGACAGTGAAGTATAGATGGATAAATTCAGAAATAGCTGGAAAAGGTAAAACTTTATAAATGCTATGTGAAGAGCACTGTTACCAATTTAGGTGTGAAAATGGATTCTGGCCTCAAGTTTGACATGCATATTTACCATGTTGTACGATCATGCTTCTTTAACCTACAGCACTTGGCTAGAATTAAGCTGCTGTGAGAGTTCACCTGGTGCCTGTCACTCATGCTTGGGTCCAATTCAGAATAGAATATGCCGGCCCAGGTGCGGTGGCACAACTACAATTAGCCCAGAACTCGGCTGCTCGGTTCCTGACAGGCACGACATGCAGGGAGCACATTACTCCTGTGCTGAATATCTACACTGGCTCCCAGTGCACTTCAGGGTGAAATTCAAGGTGATAACTCTGGTGTAGGCTCTTCAGGGAACTGCTCATTCGTACTTGGCTAGCCTTTCGAACAGACCAGCCCTCTGCTCGGCTGATAAGGAGCTGCTGGAAGTTCCACATTCAAAGCGCAAATCAGGGTTGCGCTCTTGGCGTTGGCTCTGAGGCTATGGAATGATTTGCCTTTCACGTGTGCCAGTCACCTTCCTTGCTGGTTTTAAGTCCCATTTAAAGACGCAAATTTATGTCATGGCTTTCCAACAGTGTGGCTTCATTGTCCTGCGTGAAATGTGGCCTTTTTTATCAGGTTTTATGGCTATTTCATAATGTTGTACTTGTTGTTGCTTGTTGCATTGTCCAGCACCTTGGGCTGGACAATGCATAAGGTTGCGGAAGGGGCTTTATAAATTAAGTGAAAATGAAAATTGTTGCTAATCTTTTACATTTTGTGTTTAACCAGTGCCCCTGCAGTGAAACTAATTACCTAATTGGGAAATCCTTGAATAAGCCTTTTCTCTATTAGTTTGAGATATTATTGACAGTTAATAGATGACTGATCAAGCTATAGAAAACAACACAATTACTGACTTTTTTTTAATGTTCTAAAATGATTGAAGCCCCCCCCCCCCCCCCCCCCCCAGGATTTTATATGCCTATCTCTCTTTAAATACAGAATTTACTGGATTTCTTTGTATTTTCTCTGTTTGCAAATTAAAAAGGCTGCAGATTTTTATAACGTCAAAGATTCTGACCCTGAAAACCTTTGAACTTTCTTAATGTCCAGACCGTTTCCGGTTGGGTCCATTACTGCTTCTCTCATTTCAGATGTTTTGTTTTTTTCCCCCCCGATGATGTGTATTGAGCCCAGCTGCCATTCAAACTTCTCCAAACAGACACGCTGCCTCTCCACAGCTCCAGGTGTGATGCCTTCACACCTCGGCGGGCCCGCAGACGTCTGAGGCGGCTGCGCGGTGCGAGTCAACCTCGATGGTCGCCCCATTCACACGTGCATCGCCTTTGATCGCTGGAGGATTTAATTCAAATGAGCACGCGGCTCTCGATCTCAGTCAGTCGCTGGTGGAGGATCATGTCTGCGGTTCATGGGACCACGCGCGCTGGGGATCTGAACTCCTTCCTGATGTCCCAAGGAGGACACCATCAGAACACGATGGATTCAGGTTAGAGGCGATCTTACTTTAAACTTTAAAATAAATCTTGTTTCTGGGAATATCTTGGAGCTGTGCGTATTTTACGCATTTGCCCGGTTTTGTTTCAGACTTTGGAGGTTCTCCTCCGAAGTCAAAGATCAATGTGGTCCAAACCCACAGAAGAAAGAGGACCAATTTCACTCAAGAGCAACTCCAAGTGCTAGAAAACTTTTACTCCAACATCAAATACCCTGACATCTACCTAAGAGAGCAACTGGGGGCCCTGACTGGGCTGCAAGAGGCTAGAATTCAGGTAAATACAGCTTTTGTATCCATGAAGACAGTTCAACAGCTACAGTAAAATAAAAAATGTTGATGTGTTCGTCATCTTAGGTGTGGTTTCAGAACAGAAGGGCAAAGTCTCGTCGTCAGGTTGGTACATCAGCCCCCGGAAAGGCATCCAAAGCACCAACAGCTGATCCTGTTGCTCAACTCCACATGAGAATGGGTCACCAAGAAAATGGTATATTTATTTGTCACTATCCACTTTTCTGCTTTACTTTCCCTCCCATTTGTCTAATAAAAAATGTAAGTCCATGCAATGAAGAAAGGTAAAAACTAATATTGCTTTTGATATTTTTACAGTTCACAACAGCAGCCCTGCCACAGAGATGCAAAGGATAGGAGCTTTTGGAGGGAACAACAGTTTCAGGCCAACAATGTACCAAAGCGCCGAGGACAACAGGACCGCTCCTCCAACCAAACCCAGCAGCTTTGCACACCCCCAGTTTTCCTGCATCTACGACAAAAACGGAAGCAGAGTGACGACCGAGCAGACGCAGCAAAGCAAACCCAGCCTGACAATCCCAATCCCAAGCTCTAGCGTCCATTTTTATCCAAAGATGGATGCCAACATAACGGGTGACCAGGACTCAAAGGTTCTGATGGAGTATGAAAACTTCCCACCAAATAAAACCATTGGACCAGAGATGAAAGTTGTGATTCCTCCCATTCTGACCCAAAGTAACTTCCACAGGTTTTCCCCAGAAGACGACGGATGCCAAATGCAGTATTCACAGCCGAGAGCTGCGGAAAGCGTTGGTCACTTCTCCCCGATCCAAACCACAGAAGAAGAGGACGCCATTGATTCTAATTCTGAGTGGGAGAACGAGGTCATGGCTGACTTTGGTAGCTTTATGTGAGGTTTGTTTTCCATGAGAACGACTAAAACCAGTATTTATTTCATTGTAATAAAGATGTTTGACACTTAAATAAATAACAAACCTGTTAATTTGTACGATCTACAATCTGTGAATAAACGTAGACAACCAAAACCGGTGTTGCAATATTACGTTTAATATAAAACAAAGGAAACATTTATATACAGACACACTCATTTACAACTTTACAAAACTGAAAAAGGAGATTTTCTAGCAAAGTCCTATAACTTGAAGTGTGTGTGTGTGTGTGTGTGTGTGTGTGTGTGTGTGTGTGTGTGTGTGTGTGTGTGTGTGTGTGTGTATACTGAAGCCATGCCAAATCTGGGAGTACTAAGATCTTCAGCATTAAAAGGCATCAAAACCCAATAGTTCTTTAGAAAAATACATTTTTTTCCTTTTTCAGTGCTCACAAAATTATAAACCCACACATTTCTGAGTACGTAGCAGAAATGTTAACAACAGTCCTGTACTCAGAGACATTTTACAAATATCTACAATAAACAGCTTTATAAAACATTCTTTAGCTTCCCCTTGTGCTTACAAACAGTGGAGCAACAGAACAGAACACACATGGGGGGAAACGTGGGATATTATTTTTTTTAGAACCACACACATCTACCAATATAAATAAATATGAACAATAAAAACGATTAGAATCCATGTTTGGCACAAGGAACCAATAAATAATGTGACTATGAACATGTAGATTGTGGCAGACAGAGGCGAATAGGTAAAGACTGTTTCAGGACGGTGGTCAGTTGGTTGCACAAACATTGTCATACTTTTAAGCGGTGGATAAAATACATGACAGCATGGCTCCGTTTAGTCCGGAACCTCAGGATTCTGGGCAGAATTCCATTGAAACTCATTTACCCCAGTTCGAGTAAAAGCACCATCTCAGTGTTAAAGGGCTGCACTTCTATATGCATGTACCCGCGTGTGTTTAAGGGAGGTGCATGTACTCAGACTGCATTGGTGTTGTTGGCAGCAAATGCATGCAGGTTGCCCAGCTGACTCAGGCCACTCTGGATGTGTGCCACATGGATCTCAACATTATTCTGAAAGCAACTAGAAAAACAAGAAAAAAACAGTTAAAGGTGTAGAACACTCATTTAATCAGTAAATTTGCAGTGGTCTCCAGTAGGAATGAATGCCTTGTAAAGGTTGGTTTATGCGTGATGCGTCCGCGAGGTCCGCACTGCTCCGCGAGGCGAAATTGCGTCATTTTAACAACCACGCCCCTCCACCGCACCTCCGCACGGCCCAAACTTTCCGCAACGCGCACCTAGGAAATTTTCTAACCACGCGGACGGTCGGACGCGGAAAAACATGGCGGACCGGCAAGAACTAGTATGGCAGAGGTTCGTAAATACAGACATTTGTATGATTCAGCTCTCAAAGATCACAGTGATCAACATGTTGTTAATAATTCTTGGAGAGAAATAGCTCGCACTGTCGGAAAAGACGAGGACGCTGTTAAAAATGCTGGAATGCCATGTTGTAAACAGTAATTTCTACTTCTACTATGGTGTAGTGTTGGATGCATGCTGTAGAGCTCCATGCTGCCCCCTACAGTTTGGGAGAATATTGGCTCACCGCAGAGACAAGCCGCATGAACCATAAATGCTGCAAGTTGTGAAGCGTGTTCCATCCGCGAGCCGCATCACCAAGCGGAAAGTGAATGCGTCAAGCATAAACCAAGCTTTAGTGGAGGGTGATATACCTGTGCACCATTTCTAGGAACTAGAGGTTACCCACAACACAGCTAAGCTTCAGACAGCAAGATCTGGAGTCTTATTTCCTGATATTTGGACATTTTGCCTCAGACTAGCAAACAGCAATGCAACTCTTTTCTCTGCAACGTGGATGTTTTAGCTCCACAAATGACACAAGCCAGGAGGAGCTTCTGCTGTGTGGTGAAGCTGCTAATGCTAATAGTTAGCTTCTACTAGTTAAGACAATATCTGCTGTTTCCTGAACGCTAAAACAACAACAGCCTTCCCCGTCGTGAGTGAAGATGGTCGAGTCCATGAATGTTAAGTGACAGTGTGACGAAGATCTGTCAGGTTTTTCAAATCCTAGTTTCACCTTCTATTTTCTATCAGAAGCTAATGCAGGAGATAGGTGTAGGAGACTATTATCATGTTCAGCCTGCATGAAAAACTCACAGTGGCCAAATACAATCAGAAATAATCATTAAAAAATGGGTTTTCAGTGTACCACACCTTAAAAACACACACATATTACACTGTTGAAAGTGGATGACAGTTCGACAGTTTACCTGAGGTTGGAGGGATCTATCGAAGCTTTGATGTCGTTAAGGGAGTCTGTTAAAGATTTAAACTCAAATGAATTCAGGTCTCCTCCATCTGCCAGACACTGAAACAACCAATGGAGATGAGTGCATTTAGCATGATTCTGTAACATGTTGTGTAACCTGAGGGCGTGTAAAACGAGAGGAGACTCCTCTACCTTTATCTGTAGGAGTAGAGCGGTCAGGCGGGAGATGAGGTGTGTGAGGCTGGGATTTGTCCCACTCTGCTGCACCATCTGCTGGGCCTCTTCTTCACAACGCCGCCGCAGCTCCGTGGGATGGTCGGCTGGGACCATGCCCTGGTCCGGAGCGAGCTGGACACAAAAACATAAAAATAAAAAATCAGCACAGCTGGCAGACTGCTTGAGGGTAAGAAAGTGTATCCTTTGACTTACGTCACAACAGAACTGCTGAACTTCATGAAGAACTTTGTTCAGATCTTTATTGAGCTGCTCGAGCTCCAGCACAGTAGTAGCATATCGCTTCTGAAAATCCAGGTCAATGGGCAACGAGTACGACTTCTGAATACACAAAGCACACATCGAGCCAAGTCAGGGTTGCTAAATGCATTTTAGAAGGATCTAAGTTGATTTGAGTAACTATGAATTATGAGTTTCACCAGTTTCTCAGCTTCTGTGTTCATCCCTTTTAAATGCTTGATGTGTTCCTTTTTGATCATGAGGATTTTAGACAACCTCGTCTGCAAAAAACAGAAAAAAAGAAGAGTGTTGGGAAAAGAAAACGCTGATTTTTTAAGATGTGATCCATGTGACAGGAAACCCTTACGACTTGGACCAGGAATTTAACAGGAAATCCTCCCAGGGTATCTCCCTCAGAACCAGGAAGCTTGTTCCTCCATGGTGAAGCGCTCATAAGTGGATCGTTGTCCTGTTGGCAAAAACAAATGGAAGTGATTCATCTCCACTGAAAACTGCAAATGTTCTCAAGGTGTGTTTTGTACGCTACCATGTGAACGGGGGTGGTAACCGACGGGTAGGGCCCTCTGGGAGGAGTCATGAGGTTCTGAATGTACCGTGTTGACCGATGCTTCTGTGCAAAGGCTGAGATGGGCATGGTCTCGTTGGGTTCGTTGCTCTGACAGACAAAAAAATGTGCGAATACTACACAGTGATTCCAAATCTTTTGAGTTCTGCAATTAATACTGTGTTAGTCCAACACAGTTGTTACCATGGCAACACGAGAAGTTATTGGGCTTACCAAGACTTCATAATCAGGCACTGTGTGAGTTCCTAGGCCACTGCGGTCAAATGTGACACGATAGGTTGCAGCACTGGTGTCAACGGCATCGATCTGCCCCGTGAAGAGGCCATCGTGGTCACCTCGGAGGCGAGCTGTTGGGACAAAAAAAGTGCTTTGTGATTGGGTAATTGAACTGTAACGGAACGGAATGACTGTTTTTTTCCCTTCTTTGCTCAAGACTAGTCTGCATGAGATATAACTCAAGGTCTCATGCATTCCTTCTAACCTGCTTATTTACAGCTCAACAGAAGAATGAAGAATGAACTCTTTTCTTTTAATTAATCAAAGAACTCTATTTTAATAAAGCTAATCCATCAAAGTGTTAGTCAATAAATAAGATGTGACCGACCTGTGAAATCAAAATATTAATTACCTTATTATAATCCTATAGAATATAAAGGTACTGTGACTTTAAGTGTTCCAACAGGACTCATTTCACGTAGCGTTAAAAAGACATAACACATTACTTTCACTGATCCAATCAGAATCTTACAGATCTGACGGAGGCGTGGTTTTGATGGTGTTTGGTAATTTTTCATTTGACAATAAACCATAACATCTGAAGTATAAAACTATGCCACATCAGCTCTAACGCCAGTTCAAAGTGTTCCAGAGAAAGTGACGGAGTGGCCAATCCTGATCTAAACTCTTTAACTGAAAGAACAACGACAAGCTGAAAATAAAAATTCGTCGCTATACTAACTGCGGCAACAGTTCCTTTCAGAATAAAAGCTGAACCATCAAGACCCAGGCTTGGGTCTCACCAGACGCCAACAAACTGTTGTGTACCCGGAAGTATCTCACAGACTGGTCTGGTCGGAACCGCTGCTTTTCCTACTGGCTTGGTTCCAGAGAGGGTCAAGCTAAGACATCGACATTCCGGATCTACAGAGGACTTCCAGAAGGGTATGTAGACCGACATGATGGTGTCTCATGTGTTTATAGACCTCCTAACCAAAGCTTAATGTGAAGACATCACCTTCAGTTCCTGTCAGAACCAATTGCTTCTTCAGATTTGCTGGTTCTGATTACATCACACGTCATCCATTCACCGTCGCATCCACTTTAGTTACACCATACATTAAGTTTTAAAGTCAGTCTAGTTTCATTTGTTAGTAATAAAATTCTTAACTTTTAAACTTGACTCTCTCTCTTCTGTTGTCTCAGTGAATATGAAGCAGTTATCTAATCCCTGTAATAAAAAGTTCCAATCTTCTGGTGTAAATAACTCACAGATCCGTAAGGTGGATTTCATATTTCCTATGGAATCCCACGCCTTATACGCGTAATCTAATTCATTACAGAACTATATTTTAAATATGGATGAAAACACAGATTTGTCCATCCATTCGTTCATTTTTATCCGCTTTTCCAGAGTTGGGTCGTGGGGGCAAACGCCTAAGCAGAGACGCCAAGACTCTCTCACCAGCAACATGGGCCAGTTCCTCCTGAGGAATAAGTTCCCTGGCCAGCCGAGAGTGATAGTCCCTCCAGCATGTCCTGGGTCTTTCTTTGGGTCTCCTCCTGGTTGAACATGTCTCCAAACCTCACCAAGGAGGCGTCCAGGAGGCATCCTAATCAGATGCCACCTCAACTGGCTCATCTTGATGTGGAGCAGCAGCGTGTCTCCTCCGAGCCCCTCCCGGATGACAGAGCTTCTCACCTTATCTCTAAAGCCATTTTTACAAGACACACAGTGCCGGCAAATTGGCATGATGTCATCACAATGGTGTGTCTTAAAAACGCGCCATGCTGGCATGGCGTTGCGCAAATTTTGCAGTATCCGTTCTGCCTTGCTTGGTAGTAATATTGCGGTAATGGTCTGTCTTATAAACGGCTGTTGCGCCATAGCGCAACTGAGGAAGCTCCGGCCAGCAAATATATTGAAAATGAAAGTAAACACTAGAGATGTGAATCTTCACTTGTCTCCCGATTCGATTACGATTACGATTATTGGGTCAACGATTCAATTCGATTCGATATCCCGATGCGTCACGATTATTTCATATTGATTTGTTTTCATCGATGAATTGAAGATGTCAGATAATTGCTTTTTATTTTTTTATCAAAAACGTAATTGACACAACCTGCCATCCCTCAAAAGCTCTCCATTCACAACAGTTAAGGACGAAACATTTTAAACATTTAAGAAGATTTAACAAAGTAAAACAATCTGTTTCCTGGTTCAACACCACGCCTCAGGCTGAGAAAAACACGCTTTGCAAAAACTCACAAAATCTAAAAAAGTACTGAAAACCTACAGGACACATAATGTAATAATAAAATCCATAATGGGTTCATAAATGAGTGTTTAATGTCTCTGAGCAGCTCTAGAGTCAAATATTTATGCTGCAGTTCAAGTCTGTCAGAAATAACACCAAATGAAATGTTTGACTTAGTTTATTTTATTTGAACCCAGTGGTTCATTTCTGAAATGTTGGAGAATGAATCAAGTTCTGTTTGATGCAGAAAATAATAAAACATCAAACAAATTCTACACTCCAATAATATTTAAGATGTGTGTTTTATTCTTGCTGATAATCACACCAGCTGAAGGCTGTGGGCTGGATTAGGATTAAATTACCCAGCTGATGGATCTCTTTCACTAACCAGCTAACTACAAACCTTTCCACTAAGCTGTCCTGTGGGACCCTCACCATGTGACCCTCCATGCTGTCTCTGGAGGAGCAGGTAGGAGACAAGATCTCCTGTAACTTAAAATGAACCAAAGCTTCCTCCCAGTTTCTCTTTAAGCTGAATTTAACATCAGTTTATCTTCATGAAACAAAAGAATTAAGTGGAACAAGAACTTCTATCTTCTATTTCGCTCTCCTTTTAACTTCTCCGTGTCCCTAAATTAAAGAGACAGACGACCACGCTGCAGCCGCCATCACTGACACCGCCCCCTCCCCAAGACCGGATCTCCCAGCATCACAACACTCGGTCTGACTGAGCGCTTCCAGGAGAAACAATAATTAAATTATGAAAATAATTATGCGTGTTTGGAGCATCGGTTTGGAGGAGCGTCCTCCGATCCTCTCTCTTGTGTGTGAGCAGACAGTCTCTCTCTCTCTCTCTCTGTCTCAGTTGCTGTGCGAGCGAGCGGAGCGCGTCGCATGACGACCCGCTCAATTAACTTAATTTACGGCCCAAATCCAACAGAACCAGTCGGGCTGATTTGGTCTCAGGTTACAACTCTAGCGCTCAGCCCTGCAGTACCACATTAAGGTGGAACCACTTGGTAAATGTGGATGACGCTCACTCTGACAGATTTGGATGCTGCACTGGTGCTGCCATTAAAACAAAGCTACATTCCACTCTAATCAATTATGGCGTACTCTTTTACGATGCAGAATCGTTTATGTCCGCATCCTGATGCATCAATTATTTGATTATTTTCCTCAGCTCTAGTAAACACGGGCAGTAAGTTTTGCTTTTTGAACAAAATCAGCTGAGATGGCAAACATGAGCTTCTTTCGGTTAGAGCTGAAGCTCAGATCACCGGAGACTGCACATGGACTGTGGAGGATAGAACACTTTAGGAGCGGGTTGTTAAAAAAACGATCGTGGCTTCATTCGCAATAAAAAGCAAGTTATGTTCAAGATAAACAGAAATCTGCGGCATCTCAGAGATCGCCCCATACCTCCTTCATGCTGCCATCACCTAAACTTTTATAAAAAAAGACACAATGGTGCCACATTACCACCACAGTCTGACCACCTATAAACAATCTAAGGGTCCCTGATGACGCCACGGGGGTTGTGGCAGAATGACGGCATTATTTTGTAAAAACCCAGACACCCTGCATAGATTTTTTTTTTGCTGCTTGTATCCCTGCAAAATCCCATTAATCATCACATACTGGTGAAATACATCTCCGCATCCGACCCATCCCCGTGGGGAGCAGTGAGCTGCAGCAGTGGCTAGAGAACTCTTTGGTGGGTTAACCCCCCCCCCCCAATCCAACCCCTAAAAGCTGAGTGTCAAGCAGGGTGGCATTGGGTCCCAATTTTAAAGTCTTTGGTATGACCCGACCGGGATTTGAACCCTGATCTCCCAGTCCCAGGGCCGACACTACCACTAGGCCACTGAGAAGGTGAGAAGACGAGGATGGGAATGTAGATCGACTGATAAATCTATAGCTTGGGCTTCTGGCTCAGCTCTCTCCTCACCACGACAGACCGGTACAGCGCTTGCATCGCTGCAGATGCAGCACCAATCCGCCTATCGATCTCTCGTTCCATCTTTCCCTCACTCGTGAACAAGACAGATCATTTGTGAAAACTACAAACTAGCAGACACTTACTCTGTTTCTATAATTTCATTAGTGGAAAGGATTTTCTATAGACTTTTTTTAAACAAGTCATATAAAATGTTGCAGAATCATCAGTACATGTGAAACTGGTGATCTTACCAGTGACTTTTGTCCCTATGATGAGTGGCAGAGGAATTTCATCAGGAAGGTCTTTGCAGTTTGACACATCTGACAGTTTCCTCTGCTGCAAAAGGCGCATTTTTTGCCGCTTCTGCCTCAGCGCGGTTCTCTCTTCAGCAAAGAAAGCCGATGAACACCTGGATGTGTCGACAGAACCAGAACTGTAACATCGACCGGCTTTGATCTGAGGCTTCAACATTCAGGTGAAACACACGGGGAACAACAAACGTAGAGACCACCGCGTACCGTCGAGGTTTTCCCATCAGCCTCCTGATGGTTCCCCACTCAACTCTGGTCAATTTTCTTGTTTTCAAATTGGGAAAAGACTCCTTGAGGCACAAGCAGAACTCATTGTCACCTTCAAACAAAGGTCTGGAAGAAAAAACAACAAATTTATTTTGAAAGTGCAATTAAACAAGACATTAACTCATGAACTAAATTGTTTTGTACATCTAGGTTGACTTAAGTTACTATAAATGTACCTGGAGAATAAAACAGACCAACTCAAATATGTCTGTGTGTAAATGACCAACATCTTCCAAAGTGAGACGTTACCTGTCGATATTGGAATAGAACCATTCATAGATGCACCATTTGTGAGCTTTGGGTAGTTTAAGGAGGTTTCTCAATCTCAGCCCTATTTTCTGTGAAGCCTTCTTATCTGGTGTCATGATGTTTGAAAACTTCTGCAGAGACAAATGCAAGACAACCATCAATGCACATGCAGATACACAAGAGCCATGAGGCCATAAACACAAAAATCAATGATGCAATTAAAGGGAAACTATGTAGTTTTGGCTTGCTTTTAGCACCCCCTGGTGTCCAAAAGTGAAACTCTTCTCACTGTACGTTAGTGATGAGATTTATGGCATTTCATGGCAGTCATTCTTTAGTCGGTCGTTTACCTCAAAGAGCCGTTCAAAAGACTGGCTCCTTTGAATGAAGCGAAGCCATCAGAGCGTGTGTGTTTGTGTGTGTGTGATAAGAGCAACATGGTTGCAGCGGTGGAAGGGGGTTAAGCGAGCGCCCTTTGCCGACTTTCGGGGACGTTCGTTACCACAAGACAAGATGAACGGCTCTCTACAGTAGAGCTGAGGAAAATAATCAAATAATCGATGCATCGGGATGCGGACATAAACGATTCTGCGTCGTAGAAGAGTACGCCATAATCGATTATGGTGGAATGTAGTTTTGTTTTAACGGCAGCACCAGCGCTATCATCCAAATCTGTCAGTGAGCGTCCTCCACATTTACCAAGTGGTTCCGCCTTAATGTGGTACTGCAGGGCTGAACGCTAGAGTTGTAACCTGAGACCGAATCAGCCCAACCGGTTCTGTTGGAATTGGGCTGCGAATTATGTTAATTGAGCGGGTCGTCATGCGGCGCGCTCCGCTCGCTCGATCAACGACTGAGAGAGAGAGAGAGAGACACTGTCTGCTCACACAAGAGAGAGGATCGGAGGACGCTCCTCCAAACCGATGCTCCAAACACGCATAATTATTTTCATAATTTAATTATTGTTTCTCCTGGAAGCGCTCAGTCAGACCGAGTGTTGTGATGCTGGGAGATCCGGTCTTGGGGAGGGGGCGGGGTCAGTGATGGCGGCTGCAGCGTGGTCGTCTGTCTCTTTAATTTAGGGACACGGAGAAGTTAAAAGGAGAGCGAAATAGAAGATAGAAGTTCTTGTTCCACTTAATTCTTTTGTTTCATGAAGATAAACTGATGTTAAATTCAGCTTAAAGAGAAACTGGGAGGAAGCTTTGGTTCATTTTAAGTTACAGGAGATCTTGTCTTCTATCTGCTCCTCCAGAGACAGCATGGAGGGTCACATGGTGAGGGTCCCACAGGACAGCTTAGTGGAAAGGTTTGTAGTTAGCTGGTTAGTGAAGGAGATCCATCAGCTGGGTAATTTAATCCTAATCCAGCCCACATCCTTCTGCTGGTGTTATTATCAGCAAGAATAAAACACACATCTTAAATATTATTGGAGTGTAGAATTTGTTTGATGTTTTATTATTTTCTGCATCAAACAGAACTTGATTCCTGCTCCAACATTTCAGAAATGAACCACTGGGTTCAAATAAAATAAACTAAGTCAAACATTTCATTTGGTGTTATTTCTGACAGACTTGAACTGCCGCATAAATATTTGACTCTAGAGCTGCTCAGAGACATTAAACACTCATATATGAACCCATTATGTATTTTATTATTACATTATGTGTCCTGTAGGTTTTCAGTACTTTTTTAGATTTTGTGAGTTTTTGCAAAGCGTGTTTTTCTCAGCCTGAGGCGTGGTGTTGAACCAGGAAACAGATGTTTTACTTTGTTAAATCTTCTTAAATGTTTAAAATGTTTCGTCCTTAACTGTTGTGAATGGAGAGCTTTTGGGGGACGGCAGGTTGTGTCAATTACGCTTTTGATAAAAAATAAAAAGCAATTATCTGACATCTTCAATTCATCGATGAAAACAAATCAATATGAAATAATCGTGACGCATCGGGATATCGAATCGAATTGAATCGAGAGACAAGTGAAGATTCACACCTCTACTCTACAGGAACTCGGCTCTCACTGTTCACTTTGAAAACGTGTTCAAAAGATTCGATTTGTTCATGAACGTCACATTACTACTGTGCGTTCATCTTTTTACAGCTTAATCTAATGCGTGAAACGTGTCCTCAGCCTTCATTAGTTTAAACAGAAGCGGTTCATCACTAAATCAAACAAATCAGCTGTGTTCAACATGCTGGAAGCAGACTGCAGCACTGGCATGTCAGCTCAACTTTACAAAGTCCAAAAGGGACAGGAAACTGAAGTTGCAAGTGTGATTTTCTGGCCATAGAGGCGGTGGGGTCTGAGTGACATTTTATTAACCCTGTAAAAGGTCATTTTAGCACATATCGGCTCAAGAAAATGATTTAAAAATATGAAGAAGTTGTAAAATATGCCTTTAAACAAACTATTTGGAATGAATGAACCAATGTTCCCAATAAAATCCACTAAAATGTTGCTTTAAAGGGCAGTATGTCAATATAATACTGCAGAACAGGTCAACCAAGTTCATCTCCTCTTCCTTGAATGCACCAACACCCCAAACTGTTTTGGTGCAACTACAAACAAATTTTATGATCATAAACGTCCCCAAAAGCAACCATTAAGTCATGATTAAATGTCACAAGTCAGCATTTTACACACACTTTAGAAAAGAAAAGCAGAAAGACCATCCTATGTATAACAACCTTATTGAGTGGAGTTCTATGGTCCTTACACCTTCGCCAAATAAACGTTACAGCAGTTTCAAAAGCTTAAGATTTTCCTGCATCTTACGTGCATGAACAGCACACACATGCACAGAACAACTCTTTCACTTCCTGGTTTTACAAAAAAAAAAGATACTCTTGAGTAATAATTTGTACTATCAAGCACTTTTAATGATTTTGAGACCCCGTGAAAACTTTGGCGTTTGTACCTGTGGTGTAGTGGAGACCCTTTGGCTCCTCCGAGGGGACCTGGAAGAGGGACGCTGCTGCGGCGATTCATCTTCCTCCCGAAACAAACGGCTTCTCTTAGAGCTCCTTGTAGGCTGAAGACACAAAAATTAAGTTTTCTCAGAAGAATCGATATTTTTTTTATAGAACTGTTTCTCGACAAATCTCAATTATGCCTCCAAAGTGTCTTCAAGAAAGTCCATTATTAATATTTATTCAAACTTTTTATGACAAATATACAAATCTTATGTAATTGTAGCTTTCCAAACAATAATAAATGCGTTTCTAGTTCATCTTAATTAGTCATGATAAAAGTGATCATCGTTTTACCACGTCCATTGTGACAGATGAATGGCGTCCTCTGGTGTTGTGAGCTCTAGTGAAACTGTTCTTCTCATTCAGAGTGTTAGACAAGCTGCCCTCTGTAAAAAGATGGATTTGTACAATAAATTGTGAACACAATCCACATAAATTTAATATGCTTTCTGACCAAGTTTGTGCTGTTTTTATTACTAGAAAGAAAGCACGAACTGCTGACTTTATTTTGTAAAAACATGCAGGCAGTGCAGGTCATAAGCTTGGTATTATGAGGGTAATACACAGCTTCATGTGTGTGAGGGGCTTAGGAATACTAACCACTTTTATCCAGGAGTTTAATACATATATGGCTCTGACCTAATCAACGTTCATGTTTTTAATGATAAAAACATAGTTTACGAAAAATCTAAATCCAGATCATTTTAACAGTACAAAGAGCAAATTAAAAATAAACAGACTAAGTACCTTTTAAACTGACCAGGGCCTCTGCAGAGGAGCCTAAGGAAGATGGGAAATTGTGCAACATCAGTATCAATTAGCATTATTAACAGCTAAAACAAATGTCATTTCATCAACAAATGTAGGAAATCAGATATCTCCATGTTTGAGTAAAATGCTAATATTACTTATGCTATCAAAGAACCAAAATGACGTTCGGATCGGTCAGATAGGTTGAGTTAGAGGCCTTTCCTCCCAAGTTTCAGCTGTCAAACACGGGTCGAAACATCAGCTTGACAGGCAACACCAGACATGGTGAAGCGAGCTGATGTTACCACGAACTGAAGGTCATATCTAATTACATTAAATTTATTTAGATCCGTTATTTCAGTGTAAAAAGCCAAATCAATAAATGATAACAACAATCGCGTAACCATGTAACAAGCGCTAACAAACCTTATGGGAAGAAAAGACATTTCCAGGGAGAAAGATGAGGAAAACTAAGCCTGATTACTCAAACACAGAGTCATTAGCTGCGGTAGTCCTATTGTTATTGTAGCTCTATTTATAAGGTTAGCAGCGGTTAGCTCACAGCTAAGCTAACGGGATTCGTTTACCCAGTTGAGCTAAAGTAACTTCTTCAACTGCTGTATTAGCTATAGTTAGCTCGTGGTGCTAGCAAGCAGTAGACCGGTTTCTACATCCAAACGCGGCTTATAAAGTCAACCCAAAACCTACAATATTTGCCGTATGAACGGTGCTATCGGGTTTCCGCCTGCTGTTTATCTTTTTTATAATAGATTCGCTGCTTGTTCACACTGTAAAACTGACAGTATGGTGTGTTGTTACCCACTCTCGTCTAACAGCTGGTCCATCTCCGCCATCTTGAATTAGCCGCGCCGCTTTTCAAAGACTTTGTCAAAATGCATTCTGGGTTAGAATCCGTCTGGAGGGCGATTTGAGACAAAAAATAAACAAACTGATACAACCACCGGCGCTAAGTCACTTTGTGTCACTCTGACTCATAAACTGAAAAGTATATTTTATATAAGTACAATATTTTTGTTGAAACTTGGTACAGGAATGCAAGAAAAAAGATGGGTGTGGATAACAAACCTTGACTCCACTTAGACGTACTGGAAATGTCCTTTGTCGGATTTAAGAATTCAGACACAAAGTTAACACGTTATTTAATGTTTTACGTTACCTCTACAATAACTAAATTAGCCTATGAGCTGTACTTTAAATATTAAATGCTTTAAGTCTATCAGGTAGTCTCGTGATCACGTTGTTGCTAAACTCATTTTTATCTCGTTAGTATATTATATGCATTTTTTTATTTCACGGTTTTTACATCTTAAACCAAATCAAATTCAAGCACTTTCAAGGTGAAATCAAAGGTTTTCCACCATAAATATTAATTCAACTGAACATGTATGCTTAAAACGCGGCTGTAACCAACTTTATTTAGCTAAAAACCAAAAATGTTAAAGCAGTTGAAACACTTTTAAGAACACGAAGCATTAAGGACATGACCTTTGACCTCCCATAAGATCATTTACTTTCAACATGTTTACAAATGGTAAATAAATGCATTATAGGCTGATTTCCATTCAGAGTAAAACAAAAACATAAAGACAAAAGTCTTTACATGTCCCGTGCTTTATTGTGATTTATGGAACAAAAATTAACACAATTTTCATACAAAAAGTTGTGGAAGACGGCTTGAGACAGAAACAACTAAACAAATATGTACATGTCAGACCTTATACAGTATCATCAAGGCTACTTCAGAAAACAGCCATTGAAATAATTCTGGTCTCAACTCAAAACCCCTTGCAGACACTCTGTAACACTTTAGACGTAAGCTTATCAACAGATTTTCATGAACTGATCAAATTAAAAGAATGAAATCGTTAACCATCATCGTCTGAGGCTTCCTGTATTTTCTACAACCGTCCTGTTGTGATTTCAGTTTTACAAAGTTAACGTGATCCTAATGAAGGCTGCCTGCTACAGAACCATGAAATAGCTGTAAAGTGGTATAATATTCCAGGCATTTGGATGCAGAAGTGGTGTTTTTCTTCAAACGTTGCCTTTTTTCTACCACAGGGATGTCTGGTAATTAAACTTGATCTTCAAGAGATACTTCATGTTTACCTGTGCCACATCATAAACAATGTACCTGGAGGAGCAGTGGTTAAGGAAAACAGAAAACAGGATTGAACGCAAAGGAATAAAAATAAAGTGCATGTGTGACAAGTGAAATAAAGCTACAATAAAGACAACAACAATGTTTGTTATCAATCTATGAGTGATTTATAAATACTTTCAGATCAGATTGCTGTAAAACGTTCCCAATAAGAAATAACTGGATGAATCTCAAAGGATACTCGTTGTACAGTAGACTTGTGTCATCGATGTTAGTGTGGACGCCTTTTCCCAGAGGCACATGCACGCCATTCAAATTGACAGTAGCATTTGGATCAGGAGCAGTTCGACCCAAACCTGGATAGAAAAAAAGGTTAAAGGGAGACTAGTCAGTTTTGACTTGCTTTTAGCACCCTCTAGTGTCAGTTTAGTAGAACCGAAAGCAAAACGTATGCCCTCCCTGTGCGTTGGTCTTTTTAACATCTTAATTTAACAGCTGAAATGTCTCCTCAGCCTCCATTAGTGTCTACAGGAGTGATTCATCACTAAATCAAACAAATCAGCTGTGTTCATTATCTAAAACATACAGGAAATGTGCTGGAAGCAGACTGCAGCGCCAGGTATGTCAGCTGAACTTTTTTCTAAGCCCAACAGACCGGACCGGTACTCTGAAGTTGCAAATGCAGTATTTTGCCCACAGAGGGTGGTGAGGGTCTGAGTGACATTTCATTAACCCTATAAAGGGTCATTTTAGCACCTACTGGCTCAAGAAAACAAATTTAAAATATGAAAAAGTTGCAAAGTATCTTTTAAAAATGCCCTAAAAAAATCAACCATAAGACATAAATTCTGACCAAAATTAGCACCATCTATAAAATATTTCCAGTTACCTCTACGCAAATGTTAGTTTTCCATAAAGGCAACAAAAAAGCAAGTAATAATTATTGAACCAGTTGTTTATCTTCAGGTTTCTGACCTTTAACACTTTGTTTGCCCTTTGGTAACTTTGTAATATGAGAGGCCTTCTTCAGCTCATGCCTGCATTAAAATAATAAAAAGAAATCTTTATTTACACAGAGATAAAATCATTTCAAATGGCATTTATTATGAGCTACGACCATCACTTACATGTTTCCCAGGGCAACCTCTGCCAGCAGTATGAGGCCTACAGGGTCCGACTGCGAGGTGTGACAGTAGTTGGCACTCTTGGACACCATATCAGCAAAGTAAACACCTTTGCCAAACATGTAGCCAGTCTAGAGAGATGAGAACAGGAAGCTTGTGAGGCAACGAAATGTGAAGATAAAAGAAAATATTACAAACTAGGATTTATGCTTCTACAAATGTACAAACGCACCACAGGAGCTTCTGGAGGGGCAATACGAAGACCCTGAGACAGGATTCCTGCGTAATTCGTGGTGCGAGAGCCGTGCCACAATAGCTGTCGGTTGTGTAGCTCCTCGAATGGACGGTAGCGTTGGTGCTCTCCTTCACGAACTATTTTAAAGATCTTATAAAAAAGATTTAATGGAAAGAAGGAAAAGAAATGTTTTTGTAACTCATACTCATCAGAAATTATTATAACTTTGCTATTATCATCTATAATCATACATTAATAACAACATTTATATTATTTACTGAATAATAACTTACTTCTTGCACTTCCAGCGTGTACGTGTTGTGCGTAGCGGCATGCGTGTTCTTAACGTACTGCATAATGATCTCTGCTTCCTGTGTGGTTTTGTCAACAACCTGTGAAATTTTAAACATATTACAAAAAATGCTTCCACACAAAAACACGTTAGCTACGTTCATCCAAGAGTTAACGTCCTTTACCTCCATTTTGGTTTTGAGTTTCTCATAGTTGATGTCGATGGGGTCGCGCTCGTTGTCCTGAGCTCCTCCTCTCAACAGGCTGTAGGCCACCTCGATGTCCAACAGGTTGTCCAGCATCTCCACTTTAGCCTGGACAGGGACGCGTGGGACAGATTTTCAAGCCCAGAGCTGGTGTTGTAGAGAGGGTTAGAACATGCGTACCTGAACGTAATCCAGGTTGTTAAGGAGGGGGGGCTTCTTCATGCCGAAGTCGTGAGGTATTAGCGTGTAGAAGCGATTGGACAGATCCAGGATCTGTGCCTCTGGGACGCAGTCCGACACGGCCTAGTGACCAGCAGAGAGGTCAGACTCATTCATTTCATCCCGATTCAAACAGAATTAATGTTACCGTTATTGACTGACCTGCTGCACGTCCGTCAGGAGAGCGTAGGCACTCTGGATTTGTCTTTTACTCAGCTTACCCAGAGGCATCTTCTGGAGGTCGATCTGGGAAATAAAAAAAATTAAAAAAAGGAAAAACCGGCTCGTTAAATGTCAAAACTTTTCACAAGATGCATGATGCGCAACAATGAGATCTGTCACTTTGCTGTTGATTATGAAAACAGACTCAGTAGGGCCACTTTCTGAACGCTGCGGATGAAGCTGCTTTTTAATCCCAGACCCATTAAAACAGACATAGAAAGAAATGTTAGACAGGTCTTACTTCAAACTCCACCATGGCTTTTTTCATGCTTTCAACATCAAAGATCATCTTGATCAGTTCCTGAACGGGTTTGGCCAGTTTGGACTTGGTGCCAGCAGTGGCTGTCAGCTGCTTCACCGCCTCCTCGTCCTAAAAAAGTCCAACTCGGTCACAAAACATCAAACACCTGTCTGAGGTTGTCCCCTGGTGTGTGTGTGTGTACCTGTCCATAGTCGATCTCCAGCGGGTAGAACTTATTAGGATATTTAGTGAAGTTGGAGGCACTCCAGTTATTTCCTGTTTTTTCCTTGTAAAGGCCGAGGAAATTATCCATCGCTGAGATTTTATCCTGGAATTTGTCCAGCTTGTTTCCTCCGATGGTGGTTCCCACTCTGCCCCAGGATCTGAACACCCAGTAGCTACAAGCACACGGCAGGTTCATGGATAGAGGTTATGTTTCAGAGGAAATGCTAAACATAAAAAAAGCACCACATCTGCTTGGTTCGGACAGCATGTGACGTTTTAAGAGAATAAAACCGGACGTTGGCTAAACGAGATTACCGTTTATGTACATCATCCTCCAGCAGTTGCAGTTTGTAGTACGAGTTTGTCCCTCTGACGATGTCTACCAGACCCAGTGTGGCGCTGTACATTTTCCCACTCTGCTCCAGGACATGGGCGCTGTTCTCCAGACCTGCACAAGTTCAGATCATCCATCAAAAGCAGAGGAAAAGAAAAAAAGGGACATTGCCTTTGTGCGTGGAGTTAGCAAGGTCTCTCTGCGTGCCCCGGTTTTACCTTCTACTAAATCAATAAAGTTTGAGGAATTACCCGAGTCAGGATCCACAGCAGCTCCACCTTTTACGGTGAGCTTCATCTTCTTGGATTTGCTTCCACCTGCAATTAAATATGTACTTACTGCACATTGCAGCTTTCTCTAATAGCCAGCTAATAATCACAGAACCGCGTGCTGGTTACCTTCCTCCTCCTTGACCCTCCCGGAGCTTTTGGCAGCCGGTGCTGCAGACTTGGAGGCAGTAGATGAAGCTTGGGCTTCAACTTTGACCTCTGCTCCCCAGGGTGAGATGGCGTGCAGAGAGACCAGCTCCTGAAGAGCTTTTCCTGATGACTTGATGTCCGCGAGGAAGTCTTCAGACACCACACGCACGCCGGCATCCCTCACTTCCTCCATCTTCTTACCCATCTTCTCCACCTCCTCTGAAAACACGCGGACCAAAACGGTGTCAGAAAAGACCGACATCGCTTAAGGGTGTCACCGGCCGGCTGAAATAGAAAACTCACTCTTAGAGCTGAGGCAGAGGAAGGCTTTGGCGGCGGTGCTGGTGATCTTCCCTCCCAGCTCCTCCACAACAGCTTTTATGTCATCTTTGTTCTTCGTCAGCTTTCCAACAGCCAGCAGCTTCAGACCGGTGAGAGGTTTGTCTAATGGGCAGGAAACACTCGTCACGTATCATCCTCCATCATGAGAGTCAACAGCAAAACTCGGGTCGGGTTTCTCTGACCTGAAGGAGCCGATTCTGGTCCTTGCTTCGTCGGTCCGCCGGACGCACTTGGCAGAGGCTCGGTTTTAGCAGCTGTCAGGGTTTGGGCCGGCGCCTCTCTGGGGTAGGCCCTGTCCTGTCGCTTGAACTTGAATTTCTTTAGGAAAGGGACTTCATGGAATTCCTGAAACAGGATTGAATGAGATTTCAATGAAAAAAGAGAAGAATGAAAAAGCAGATAAAGACCCTTGTACCATTTCCTGACCCATCAGCACCATTTGTGCCAATTTAGCATCGTTCCAGATGGCAACCTGCAGCTTTTTTATTTTTACCATTTCTTGTCTCCAACACTTCCGGCTTACACCTACTAGTAGTTTAAGACATTATTAACTGGAAAAAAAAAAAAAAAAAAAACGTAACTCATTCACTGCCATTGACGACTGAAGTTGTCATTTGCATGTTTTTACTGTGTGGGCATCGGAACGAGCCCCCGCACCGTGAGAACAAACATCTCAGCTCTAAAGCCGATCTTCATCCGCATGCGTCACGTGATCAGGAAGCAGAACACCCACTGACTACATTTAGATGCAGCCAGTATCCGGGTTGTGATCGGGTTAAGGTCGGTATTCGGGTTTCTGAGTTGATCAGAATAACCCGTTTACAAGCATAAATAGAAAGAGTTACCCCTAACTTGCATAACCCGATGTAAATGCAGACGTTGGGGTAGCGTCAGGACGTATGGACTACGTCCAGACGCAATATGCCTCATTTCCGGTTCTTCTTGTTCCGGTATCCGTGAAAACAACAACGTGTTTCCCAGTTCGGAAGAGATAGCGACCGCGTTTGTTTGCGCTTTAGTTTCCTCGTCACTCCAAAAGTGTGGTGCTGTGCCGCGACTCGCCATGTTGCTCCCAACTTGTTGTTTACTTCCGGTGTTCTGGCGCATACAAGACGTCTCGCTACTCAAAAGACCAGGATTCCTTGCGAACAGAGCATGCGCAGAACACACGCTTTGATGGGGATATCCCGGTATGCGTTTACACGACCAAACATTCGGGTTAGAAAAGGGTTACCCCAGGTGTTTTTAACAACCCGGTTATGAGCATATCCGGGTTTTTGGCGGTGTTTACATGGACCTGCGGAACCGGGTTATTGTGAATATTCAGGTTTTAAAAGGGTTACTGGCTGCATGTAAACGCACTGTATGTGTTAGATCGTTTTGGGCCGCTGCTGTAAAAAAAGGTGAGGTGCGAACCGGAAAAGCTTCTGCCGATCACAATTCAACAACAGATTATGAAAGAACGGATAACGCTCGAAACACGCAGATTCTTCCTGATGTAAGAGGCGAGTCTCCGCTTTGTTTTGGTTGTTTTGGCGTTGACGTCATCTTAGCGCTCAACGTTCTGTGACTCTTAAAAAAAAACTGTAAGAATGGCGAGAAACGCTGGCAGCGAATGAGTTAAGAGACGAAGCGACCCACCTTGGGAGTGACCCAGTCTCTGCGTGCCGGTCTTCTGGTTTTAAACACACACTTGGTCCAGGCTGAAATGTCCCCTGTGCAGTAGTAAGCGTCTTCTTTAAACACCAGCTGACTGCAACACTCCTTGCAGACCTCCAGAGCACCAAAGGCCATGCCGTCAGCCAGGCAGTCGACCACCTGAGAGGACAACAAAAACACAACACGTAAGACTCCAGATGACTCGAGCAACAACGAATCTCCCGGGTGAAACTGAGCTCAATATTATAGAGCTATATGACCTCTGAGACAAAGAATCACCCCAAAAAAACCCAGATTAACACCAGTGGAGCTTCTCTTACGTTGGACTCTCCAGAGGGGACGTCCTGAGCGTTTGCGATCAGCAGCTCCTTCATGTCGTTGATCGAACAATGTTTCTTCAGCTTGTCTTTGATCCCCCAAATCAGCTGGCTTTGGTTCTGCAGATGAATGAAGAGGAACATTAAGCTTATGGAGAAACTTCACTCCAAAATGTCAAATCAATTCAAAACAAAGTACTTTCAGTTGCTCCTCCAGTTTATTCTTCTCCTCCTCTTCCTCTTTCTTTAGTTTTTTTGATGCTCCATCAACATCATCACCTTTGCGTTTCCTGAGGGAATACAAACTTCAGTTAACTTTGTTGTTTTGTGGCTCGACAAGGACGAACAAGAAAAACAAAAGCAAAACATTCACTTCCTAAATGAGTCGCAAAGGGACAGGGGACAGCGGCCATGATGAGGAACAAACAAGCTTGAATCTGACACCTTTATTCATTAAACCACGTCCCCCGGGTCCCATCAGTGGTCGGACAAACACAAACACAGGCCGGCACACGCTTGGACGGTCCCAGACGCCACTGATGGGACTCTCTCCCTCCTCCCGAGACCATTAACTCAAAGTTAATGATGGTCCAGAAACAGTCGGTGTGAAGACAAACTCCCCGATCTGAGGGGACATGAATAAATCAGCCACCTCCTGATGTGTGGTCTGCATGTGGACAGCTGCGGTTGGGACAACACGGATATGATCTCACGCTCTTAACGTTTAAAGGTGAGGGATGAAACCGCTGCTTTACATCATGTTCCATTAATTCAGCTTTACTTGATTCTTATTCTCCTTTAGGAAAACCATGGAGGGCGCCGCCGTGTCGGGGAGCTCCCATCAATATTCCTCCTCCTCAATGAACTTTACCTCCCCCTCCTCCTCTCCATCACCTCCACCTGCAGACATGTCCCCCAACCGGCCGTACGTGGCGGCTGAGCTCATCATCGCTCTTTTATCCACCGTCGGTAATTTACTCGTCTGCGCCGCTGTGGCTCTAAACCGCCGCCTACGCACCGTTACCAACTACTACCTGGTGTCGCTCGCGGTGGCGGACATCTGCGTGGGTGCCGTCGCCATCCCCTGCGCCATCCTGACCGACGCCGGTCTGCCGCGTCACAACTTCTACCTGTGCCTGCTCATGCTGAGCGTTTTGATCATGTTCACACAGAGCTCCATCTTCAGCCTGCTGGCCGTGGCCGTGGAGCGCTACGTCGCCATCTTCATGCCCTTCCGTTACTGCGTCCTGATGACGCCTCGCAACGCCGTCCTGGTGATCTTCGCCACTTGGCTGCTGGCCTTCCTCATCGGCCTCGTGCCCCTGATGGGCTGGCACAAAACGCCGCCCGATTCCGGCAACTGTGTCTTCGTCCTGGTGGTGGACATGACCTACATGGTGTATTTCAACTTCTTTGCATGCGTGCTCACGCCGCTGCTCGCCATGTTCCTAATCTATGCTCGGATCTTCATTGCGGTCAAGCAGCAGATGCGACGCATCGGGCCAGAGCAGGGCGGCCGAGGGGCGGCGCGTCAAACCAGAGCCGCAGCTAGCATGCGCCGGGAGATAAAGATGGTGACGTCTCTCTTCCTCATTCTGTTTCTCTTCACGGTCTGCTGGATCCCGCTTCATGTCATCAACTGCTTCCTGCTGCTCTGCCCTCGCTGCTCCGTGCCGCTGGAGCTGCTGCTCACCGCCATCATCCTGTCACACGCAAACTCCACCATCAACCCCTTCCTATACGCGTACACCATGACGGCTTTCAGGGACACGTTTAAGGACATTTTCTTGTGCTGCAGGACGATGAGCAGCAGGAATAACATCGCTGAGGAAACAAATCTCTAAACTAAACGTTTGTCATCTCACCCCTCAGATTTGACAGCAGGGAGCCTCTTCTTAAGATCGTTCTTGTCTTCGGCGCGCAGCGCGTCGAATCCCTTCAGCTGGGCGGCGGAATAATCGGGCTTAAACACCAGTTCCTCCCTGCGGCTCACGAAGCACGCCGTGTGGTACCAGCGGTCGATCAGACCCAGCTGAGGTTTCTCTGGGTCAACCGTTTTCTTGGAAACACGAATCTGATCCTGAAAGAGAAGCAAAAATACGGCAGACATGTGAAGTATTTATGACACGTGTTCAACGGTTATTGATTAAGACATTTCCTGTGCTGCGGACCTTTTCTATTTTTTGCTCGCAGCCTTTGCACGTGCTGCGGTTCGACTTGGCGTACTCCACGGCAAAGTTATTCAGAGTTTTGGCCCCTTGAGCGGCACCTTTTGAATCACTTTTCCCTGCAAGATGCAAAGGAAAATAAGTCTAAACATTTAAAAAAAATATGCATTAATAGTAAATGATAAATTAAAAACATTTAGAACAACTTGAGAAATGGCACTCTTTTGACTTTTTATGGATCACTTCACTTTTTTATCTGGCTAATAAGACAAAGTTAAACCAATTGAAAGTAGCTATCTTAAGCTCTTTTGCTTACAATCCAATCCAATTTTATTTATAAAGCGCATTCACAAGGCATTACAACCAAACAAGGCGCTGAACACAATAATTAAAGATCTACTACCGACCTGCTCCGACAGCTCCTCCAGTCTCAATAGCCTTTTTGACTTTTTGCTGGTCCTCCCAGCGAAGAGTGGAGAACCCGGCGATGTCTGCTTCAGTCTGAGCTGCCGCTCGCTGCCAGAAGCAGGAGAAGTGGTGCCAGTGTGGGACTTTCCCATCGAACATCGGGGACTGGAGGACAAAAACAAGACAATGAAGCAACAGCAAATATCAGACAAAAAAGATGAAAAAAAAAAACAAAACCATTAAAGTGAGAATAAAGGTTTTTCTGTTTGAATTTTTCTGGTTTCTGAATTTGAATGTTGTTTTGTTGTTGGATTTCTGTGCTAGTCATGGATTGTTGTCGTTTCGTCTGACCTGCGGCCGCGTGTCTTGGACACTCGGGTGAAGAGAGGGGCGGAGCAGGCAACTGACAACTACCTGGTGGTGAGTTGGCTCAGATGGTGGGGGAGGATACCGGTCAGACCAGGCAGGCCCAAACGTATCGCGAGGGTCTGCTGGGAACATCTGGCAGAGTCTCCTGTCAGAAGGAGCTTCAATTCCCACCTCCGACAGAACTTCCAAAATGTTCCGGGGGAGGCGGGGGACATCGAGTCTGAATGGACTCTTTTCCGTGCCTCTTTTGTTGAGGCGGCCGACCGGAGCTGTGGTCGCAGGATCGTTGGTGCCTGTCGTGGTGGCAACCCCCGAACCCGCTTGTGGACACCGGCGGTTAGGGATGCCGTCAAGCTGAAGAAAGAGTCCTAACAGGTCTTTTTGGCCTGTGGGACTCCAGAGGTAGCTGACGGGAACCCGCAGTCCTGCCTGGTGAGGTTTTCTGGGCACGTCCAACCAGGAGGAGCCCTAAAGGTAGACCCCGGACACGGTGGAGGGACTATGTCTCTCACCTGGCCAGGGAACGCCTTGGGATTTCACCAGAGAAGCTGGCCCAAGTGGCTGGGGAGAGGGAAGTCTGGGCCTCTTGACTTCGGCTACTGGCTACTACCCATCTCCGGATAAGCGGATGAAAATGGATGGATGGAATTTTTCTGGTTTTACATGACAAACGTTTTTTGTGCATTAAAAAAAATTCAGATTTTACTCACGTTAAAAATAAAATCATGAATTTGTAAACAAGGGTTTTCACAATTTTGTCTTTAAAACTACAGATAATAATTCTGACTTACTTATTTAAACAAGTATAACAAATAAACATATTCACAAGAATGTCAATGTTTCATGCAGCCAGAACTAAAAAAAATTGACATATTTTGCAGAAAATACACAACACACGGTTGGGTTTTCCAACAATAAAAACAAAAAGGAACCACTGACCTGATAATATGCATTACTGTAACTATTAATACGTTACAAAAGAAATACTATATAGACTATATTTTGTGGCTGAAACTTTAAATGTGTGCAAGTGGTAATGAATTTTCCTTCCTTTTGCAGGGGTGAGTGCTGATCTGGACCCACAGACTGACCAATAAGCAGGAGTTTGACTCTTACATGATTATTTCTCTATTGCACAGACTGGAACAGCTGCTTGTGTGATTTTTTTTTTTTATCTATGTCTCTTGAGTGGAGGAGAGGATGGAGCAGTTGTATTCTGCAGCACACTGGATGGGTCTCAGACATTGTCCTAAGTCCCTCTGAGGCGATCCAGGCGGCTCTTTGTGAGCCAGATTCATTCAGTCAGCCATTTAAATGCTAACCAGGGGCCTCACTTAGCACAACTCAAACTCCTTTATAAACTACACTAGATTAGTTTAAAGTCTGATTATTATGGTTCTCTATATGCGCACATATGATTTAGATATCAGCACAGTTATAAAAGGCTTCATAACAGAATGGTTCCTTGGTTAAATCCCTCCAGACGTCGCTACCTCCTCACCTGCACCATGAGGGCCATCCTCAGCGAGTCCTTAGCTATGCTCTCTTTGCATTTCTTGCACGAAGCCCGGCCGCTTTTCGCGTATTCCGCCTTGTAGAGCTTGTCATCTTGGGAGTCCGCCATTGTTACTTAATGTTGCAAACAAGCAAACAAAGCGACGTGATGAAGAGGGCAACTTTCTCCGATGCACTCTCGGAGCCACCACAACAATCACAGGCAGAGCGGCGGCTGCAGCCCGCGTGCTACTTAGAGAGGAAGCTCACGAGACGAGGTCTCACTCTGACTCCGATTTACAATCCACGTAAGTTTTAACTTTGTTTTAATGTACTTTGTGGTATATTACGTTTTAGTTTGTTTACGTTATGATTCGAGACATTATGATGATTCGTTTGGCCATTTTAAACTTCTGTGTGGTCCCCACCTGTTTGTATTTTTCTCTAATGTACCGAAAAAAATCAGGGTTGAGTTGTTACACTGTAACCATATAACAACTTTGTTTATTCTTAACGGTTCATAAAAGAGAGAAACATTTGGCCACTCTAACTCAGAGCTAGAGTAGCTCTGCCCTAACCTAAATCTCTGACGCACTGTGATTTTTATCTTGAAAGGCGCTACACACATTAACTTTTCTTCTTCTACCAAGTGGGGCATCTTAAGAGCAATATAGGATCAGTGAACTGGTTCGCAGAATTCCCGCGCGAGTTTCAGCCAGAACTAATGGAGCACAGATCAATCAGATTTTTACTAAACTAAACATGAAATTCTACATGAAGCAAAACTATTAAGTATGTTAATTATAAATATATTTACAATAGTTGCATTTGTTTATAGTTGATCACTGAGAACTAATGCGCAAACAAACAATTCCAAAGAATAGTTCTGCTTTAAGATTTTTATTTGCACAATTCACATTGAAAGTTTATGTAAAAAATAAACATACAAAATGTAAATACAATATGTGTTCATCAAATGAACTTCAGTCTTTTGAAAACAAAATTTTTAAAAACTATGACCTGATTATAAGGGCCTAGATAACAATTTGGGTTCAATAACGACAATAATAATACACTGATGGAGACTTTCATTTACTCGTCTTTACAATAATTTTTCACATAGTCATTAATTAGTAAAATTATTTCTAAAAAATCTTTGGGCTTACTAATAAATATAAAAACATCTTTAACTGTAAACAAAATTGGTGGAAAATAACTCACTAAAAACGTCAACCAGGGCTTTACAGGCCACTGAGTAAAATTCTAAGAGGTATTGTGTGTTTTGGCGTAGAGGTCTCACCTCTTGCTAGCACATTTTCTAAGCAAGCAAGAAAATGTGTTGGCTTTTCTTTAACTGGACAAAATAGCATAAACAACAACTGAAAACAGAGATTTCAGATGATGAAGTTAACCTATATTATGATGCTATAAATAGTTAATTTCCAAAGTAAGGTTTAGATGAGAAATCATAGATGATTTCACCCAAGACGGTCTCAACTCATTTAGTTTTATAGTGACAGGATGGATCAGAAGGAAAAAGGAGTTTGGCAAGACTTGATCCAACTAGCAAACCTTGAAATACATTCATGGAATGTGTCTTCTTCTTTGTGCATTGCTCAGCAAAGCAGCTTACTGGGAGTCAAAGTGAAATTCCCATTGGACTCTCTCATCCTCTCTTTGTGTCTGGCCTGGACAAGACCAAATACCACTTCTGCTAGAGTCATGCGTCCTGCTGTGCGGCCACCTGGGCGCCCATCTGTTCCGATGTTGGCTCTTTTGCTGCGCATGGTGCTGATGAAGTATGTGCGAACATTCCCCTGGCATTCACTCACCTGAACAGAAGTACAATCAAATATGGTGTTATGTTCATGGGTACTTTGAACTTAAAAAAAACAAAACAGGAAATACTACCTTAATCGTACCCATCCTTGTACATTTAGTCATAATTGAAAAAAAAACCCCACAAAATATATGATATTTATAATAGAATTTATCAGAACTTGAACATGTGAAAGTTCAACAAACACTCACCCCTTTGATAAATATTTCTCCTCGTAGTTCCAGGACAAAGCCCCACTCTGCCAGGACCATCTGTGTGGCCTCAGGCACCTGGATACGTCCGCTCACACCTGCGCTGTCCATACGACTCGCCAGGTTCACCGTCGACCCCCAAATATCGTACTGTGGTTTGGTGGCGCCGATCACACCTGCAACCACCGGCCCATGGGCAATACCTGAAACAGTTTTAAAGTGACATTTCCGTGACACAAGAACTCATCACAGAACTGCATTGGTGTTAGGAAGATCAGTTGCTCACCGATACGAAGCTGAAAGTTCTGAGGTGAATTCTTGTTGATCTCTTTCAAAACCTCCTGCATCGCCAAAGCAAATAAAACCAGCTCACTCAGGTGATTCCACTCATCCACCGATCCCTGATAAAGATATGGACAGAGGATGGTTTTATACAAAAACCAAAGCCAGAATACAAAATAGAGACAAAATCATGAGAAAATACACGAGGGGATGAAATGATTTCAAGTCATGCAACACTAAATAGTTTTTGAAACTTTAAGCTAGAGCTTTAACATTGATCTCAGTGATTTGGCACCGCTCTGCAGCCCTCTACTGTCCAGAAACTGCACTTAACAGTTTTGTGGAGTGGGTAGGTGCCCTGGGGGGAGCTCTTTTCATGCTTTACGGCTGTTAGCTGTTGTGCTAGCAGTTAGCTTGATCAGTTTGCTGATCGTCAATAAAAAGCACAACAAGAAGAAAAAGAAGTTTTGTCTTTAAACATTTTTTGCACGTTCATTCTGATGTTTCGGCTAATGCTGTTGCCTTCCTTGAGCTCTGAGGAAGGCTAGAGCGTTAGCCAAAATGCCAGCAAAAACAAGGTAAAACAACTCTTTTGCTGTGTTGGTAAAAGAACCAGTTAATGAAGTTTTGTCTTTTGTTGGCATCATGGCGGAACGTGGATGTACAAGTAAATGAGTAATGGATTTGGAAGAGAAGCTAATCGCTAAAACTGGAGTGAACATTGGTGCAGCCTATGTTAGTTAGAAAGAGCTAAAAGTGGCTACAAAATCACAGACTGATGGTGACCTGGCTTTGTTGCAACTATACTTGTAAGTAATAACAGTTTTTGTCCAACAGTGTGGATCTTTTTACTTTGTGGTTTATATTTGTATTAGTTTTAGTGTTAGCTTGTTGGTAGCGCTAGCTACAGCAGGCTGCAGCAGGGTTGTTTACAACAGTTGTAATTCCACTTTCAACCAGTAGGGCAGAGGAGCAGGAAACTGCTCACTGTCACTTTAAACCACGTTTAACAGAAAATCTCAAATATGTCGAATACAAACAAATGTAGGAATGTCCAAAATTATCGGCCATTATTGGCATTTCAATGTAGCATCAGAAATTCTTGGGTATTAGTTTTCACTCTTTAATGGCACAACGCTTACGTCTCATGCACTTTTCAGCTATTTCTCACACTCAAAATGTTAAACTACGAAGATCACGGTTAAGTTTTTGAGACTTTCAATATATCCTCTGGCTTTTGCATTTTTTGAGCCAACCTTGAACATTTAGGTAGACGTCTATCGGTGCACACTTATTGCAAACCATGTCATTACCTGCATGCACCATGATAAGCTCGTAAGTGGACTTGTCAACATGTTTTTGATTTGGAATAGAATATATGGCACAATTTCTCATTGCCCAACTTAAATGAGCTGATGTGGAACATTCCTAAAATGTACTCATTTAAATAATGACTAAAGAATCGCAGAGTCACCTGTTTATTTGGAGCTAAACCAGATGCTGCCATGTAGCAGCTTCCTATCGTCTTGATCTTCTCCACGCAATGGAAGTACGACTCCTCCAGTAACTTTTTAGAAGAAATGCACAAAATTACAGATTTAGGTAAAGCAGCTGAGTTATGCTGATTGATAAATGCATAAAGGTGCAATAAATTAAACCTGTTTACCTCATCAAATCCAGCTATGATTTCATTCAGCAGACGGAGGCAGTCGACTCCTTCATGTTTGATCTCTTTCTGCTCAAAGTATTCATTGAATCCAGCGATAGAAGCAAACATAACACCGACTTCTTCATAGGACTGGGAGTAAAGCTCCTACAGCCACACAAAGGTTTGATTTATACAAAACATCTGATTAATTAACTGATCTATTCAATCCTGCTTGGAGTTATAAAAAAGTTCTCAGCAGAAGCAAAAATTTAATATCTTTCCAGTATTTTAACAGCAAAAAAGTAAAACTAGATGCTTTAAAATGATAGCTCAGACTCTGTGAGTTTTTATACTTCATCATTTTTGCTCCGCTCTAGAAAATGTTGGGCAACATGCACAGGTAGGATGTTGTGTAGCAAACACTCGTTGTGTTCTCGCAACTCCCTCATATCCTCCACCTCCTGCTGGGCCTGAAGACGCCACAAGAAGTCCAGTCTAGCAGCAGCTTCCCACTGGAAAACAACATTTCTTCACTGGGAAAAAAAATTTCCAACTGTGTGCACAATTTGCATTTGTTTCTCAGCAGTATTTGTTTACTCCACTGGGCTACAGGAAGTCAAAAAATCAGGCAAATGACTGATACCTGGCGCCCGTTGTAGAACACAGCAACAATAAACATGGCCATGAGAAGGATGGAAATTCCCTTTCTCCTGACATACTGAGACCTGGATTTGCAAGAAGTAATGCCAATGATAGTTTATGTCAAAGAATTATGCTTAAAATCATACAAAACCACTAATCAGTGACTGACTCTGCACACACAGACCTGTGCATCAAATCGTTGCTAGAGAATGGGACGACGGTAAGTTGAACAAAGTAGGAGTAAACCACCAGCACTAACAGCAGCACGGCCAGCTTCAGCACCGAGTTCAGGCGTAGAAACACAGCACACGTCACCATGGCGACCACACCACTCAACACAAAGAACTGAAGAGAGGCGAGAACTTTTAAATTAGCTGCAAGATCAGCTTATTGATAACTCTGAGATGCTAAAGTGCCACAAACATGTAGGAAATGAAGAAAGTGAGTTTTTTTTCTTTGTTTGTTTGTTTCTACCTCGGGGGGAGAGCAGACGATGAGAGGACGGGATTCTGTGTTCCCCCTGACTGTTGGATCATCCTCTTCTGTGATGGTGAAGATGCACCATACCTTTTAGTAGTAGGAACACAGAAATACACAATTACATGCAACTACTAACTTGGATTGCTATAAAAGCCACTTGGTGGCAGCAAAAACAAGATTTTGTGAAGACATTTAATTAAGTATTTTTTTTATCAATAAGGCAATTTTATCAGTGTTCCAACAATAAAAAGAGAAAAAAATATTATGAATATTGATTATTTATTATTACTATAAATATAGATGTTTTATTACACAGAAAAATAATGATTTGGTCCTGTAATAAAGCTATTTTCATTCACCTGTCTGCATGGCTACTGCCTGGTTTTTGGCAGGTATCATCAGGAGGATAGTTTTTGATACTTTATTTTTATTGATTTTCGTCTCATTTTACATACAGAACTAAATAGAACGAAAGAGGATTAAGAGGGCATTTTAAGCTTAAATGCACAGATGTGGCAAAAACAAGAGCAGTCAAAAAGAACCAGAAAATAAAACACTAAATTATAAAGTGAATGTTTGCAAAAATTAATGGGACTTACAGAACATTTTGGTGATAAAACACAGTTTTTAGCTCTACTAGAAATTAATTGCACAGTTTAAATTGAATTTTTGCTAAATCAGGAATAACTATGCAGAAAACTGCTGTTCCTTGAACCGACTCAGCTTTTCCTTATTGCCCTTTTAGCAGCCTCACCATATCTGTAGAAACCAGGCCAAAGTTAATGAGAATGGCTGTGAGGGTGAGGAGGTTACGGGCACTGTTGTTTTCATGGATCCAGCAGCATAGATGCTGCAGAGCCGCTGGAGTCCACTTGAACTCCTCAGCAAAGGCGAGCAGCAGCAGCAGGACGTAGAGCAGCAGAAAGAGAGAAAACTGGAGCGCAGCGGGGAGCTGCCTGCAGGTGAACAAGGGAGGTAGCACAGAGCGAGTTAAAGAATGGAGCAAAATGATAAGCGTGAGTGTTTGACTAGTGCCCTGAGATAAAGAAATACTTTATTAAAACAGGATGTGAAAGCTCGGGCAGCCTTGTTAGTCTTCATGATTTTCCTGTATAAATCCTCGGTTGTTACGATAGAAGATTTATATTATATATTAGTCATACAGGACACACACACACACACACACACACACACACACACACACACACACACACACACACACACACACACACACACACACACACACACACACACACACACACACACACACATGCACACAGTGATATTTGAGAAGTGAACGAAGTTTGCAGGATTTACAGAAATTGTGCAATAATTGTTTAAACAAAATGATTTGCATAAATTTTGGGGCAGCAGTGGCTCAAGGGGTAGAGCGGGTTGCCTCATGATCGGAGGGTCATGGGCTCGATTCCAGCTCCCGCCAGGGGTATCCTGCTGTTGTGTCCTTGGGCAAGACACTTCACCCAACTTGCCTGTGTTAGTGGTGGTCAGAGGGGCCGACGGCGCCAAATGGCAGGCTCGCCTCTGTCAGACCTCCCCAGGGCGGCTGTGGCTACAAGTAGCTTACCATCACTAGCAGTGTGTGAAAAAGCGTCTTTGGGTGTCTAGAAAAGTGCTATATAAGTTCAATGCATTATTATTATTATTAAGTTTTGGCACTGTTGTCATTTGTGTGATTAAACCTTTAGAACTAATTATTGGAACTCAGAATTGGTTTGGTGACCCTTGACCTCCATACACAGGTAAATCAAATTACAAGAAAGAGTATTTAAGGGGCCCATACTTGGCAGTTTGGCTTTCTTTTAGCTCCATCTAGAGTTTGTTATTAATTCTCTGTGGTCAAACCGAAAGCAAAACTTATCTCCTCGCTGTGCGTTCGTCTTTTTAACACCTTAATCTAACGGCTAAGATGTCTCCCCAGACATCATTAGAGTCCACAGAAGTGATTCATCACTAAATTAAACAAATCAGCTGTGTTCATGATGTCTCCAGTTTTTCTATCAGCAGAATCTTCTGCAATTCCTGATTTTCCCACATTTTAAATAAAAATAAAAAAACTTTAGTTTTACTGCTGTGTTCTGGCTGAATTTCTGGGTCTTCGCGTTAAACCAATCACAGGAATGGCAATTTCAGTCCCCAGAACTGAATATTATTGAAAATCTGTGGTATGAGTTAGAGAGGTGTCTGTGCTTGGAGATGTTTTGTAAATAAGAATGGACCAAAATACCTTCAGGACCAATCAGAATCCAGACTTATTGGAAGCTTTAGGAAGCATTTATAGGCTATTTCTGCAAAAGGAGGATTTACATATTAAGTTTTTTATGTGGTGCCCAAGTTTATGCACCTGCCTAATTTTGTTTAACCCTCCCACTGTCTTTATGTGTGACCCCGTGAGGAAAGTTGACCATTGAGCAGGATTGATTGTTTATCCCTTGAGGTCCACGTGGCAGGGTTACGTGGTGCTCACTCCTCACCCCTGCCACGTGGACCCATGGAAAATCATGAAGGCTGCTCAAACTTTGCATTCCACTGTAGCATAAAGGTTAAAAGGCATAAAACATGAGTATAATATCCAGAAACTATACAAAATATTTTAGGGTTTAATAGATGGGTGAGGTTTGATCTTTGGTGTCCTCTCACCTGGGCGTGGGGATGACAGCCTGAGCAGCCATCAGGAAGAGGAGCACGATGAAGGAGCAGACCATGTTAGAGTTGAACATTTCATCTCTAATCTGGGAAAACTGAACCAAACAAAATGAAACGAGTTTGAGTGAAGTTGTGTCAGAATATTTTTGGTAATCTGTCGCGAACTGTTCCTGACCTGCACTGATACCTTCGTACCTTGTCCTCGATGTGCGAGTCCTTGAACACTAGGGTCAGAGGAGTGATGTGCTCCTTGTGCATGCGCTCGCTGCTCCGAACCTCAATGGCGTGTTTGATGCGTTTATTAATCTCCCTGGAGGTCGACTGCCATATGCTGGGCAGGGAGCCGTTAGTGAAGGAGGCCAGGATCTGCAGGGAAACATGAATGATTGATCAGGTCAGAGTAGGTGAATCTTTGTCTTGTTGAGCACGCGTTAGAATTAAACCTCTCATAGCATTGCACATACATGAAAAAATCTTCCCCTCTGCTGCGCTTCCCAACACTCACGCTATTCATGTCAATGATTTGGCCAAAAGGGATTTCCGGGGTCCAGGTTCGAACAGTCTTCTGAACTTTCACGGGCACGGCGGGGCCTTCGTGGATCCATTCCTCGGGAGGGCAGATGAGGAAGGTGTCAATGTCGTGCTTTTGGAGAAAATCATTCCTTTCACCGCCGTGACCGTCCTCAGTCTTGTAGACACCTTCTAAACAATCGAGAGTTGCCCTTGAGATGTGGATACGCCTGGATGAACACAAACACACTTGATAAGACATTTATGTTGTTCCCCTGCTCCAACACACCTGATTCAGTGGTTATGTATTTCCAAGTAATGAATCGCCCATTGAATGAAATCAGGTGTCTTCAGGTGGAGAAACATCTAAAACGTACTGTAAAGTAACCTCTTGAGATGAAAACTGGACACCACTGGTGTCAATAAACATTTTTCCCATGTTGTCACACAAAGGGCTCATCTGAAATATAAAATTAGCCTGAAAAAATTATCCAAGTACTTTTTACAATCTTGTTTACTCACCCTGGTATCCCTCCAGCTTCCAGCATGTTGGCAATGCCCACATCCCAGGACCAGACATCAAACTGCCATTTCTGTAAGCCCAGCACGCCACAGAGGACCGAGCCGGTGTGGATACCGATCCTCATGTCCAAATCAAATTTTAGCTGCTTTCTGACAAGTCTAGCATTGGTGAGGAGATAACAGTTTATTTTGTAGCTACAGCTGCCAGCAGATGTCACAAAGAAGTTTGATCTTTCTTCTTACTTCCCTTTGCAAGTGGGCTCGAAACACGGGAGGCAACATCGCCTCTCCTCCATTCATTTTCAATGAGACATGCGTGACAAAGCGATAATCGCGGTTCTCCTATTATGGGCTCGACACACGGGAGGCGACAAACGACCGCGATCAGCGAAATTCGTCGCTGTCGCTTTTATTACCTGACACACGGGTGGCGACACGCGGCAGCGGCCAGCGGCAAAGTCGTCTACGTGTTCTGTTCCATGGCGAAATTGAAACTTCTGTTGTTTGGCTGTGTGTCAGGTTGGAGGGAATTAAGGTTATTTAAGCGGTTCAGATTTAAAAAGCGGTAGAAATGGTAAATGGCCTGTATTTGATATAGCGCCTTCTAGAGTCCTGGAACCCCCCAAGGCGCTTTACAACACAATCAGTCATTCACCCATTCACACACCCATTCACACACTGGTGGGGATGAGCTACAATGTAACCGCAGCTGCCCTGGGGTGCACTGACAGAGGCGAGGCTGCCGAGCACTGGCGCCACCGGTCCCTTCGACCACCACCAGCAGGCAACGTGGGTCAAGTGTCTTGCCCAAGGACACAACAACAGCAACAGACTAAGCGGGGCTCGAACCTGCAACCTTCCGATTACAGGGCGAGCACTTAACTCCTGTGCCACCGTCGCCCACTCAGATCAGAACAGATATGATGTTTCACGAGGTGCTGCTAGAGTTATGTGAAATCTTACTTCTGATTTTACTATAAAACACAATAATAATCAACTTCTCCATGTTTGCTCGGAGATGTATGGAGCATCCTGTTCGCTCATTGGTCAGTGAATGAAACCTCCATTGATTGGTCCTCGTTCGAGCGACAGCGAAGAAAAGTTGAAAATATTTCAACTCTCTGGGATCGCGTCGCTGGGCAAAATTTCACACGCAGGTTTTTTGCGTTTCGCTTAGTAGGAGGGAGACCCGCGATTATCATTTTGTCGCGCACGCCTCATTGAAAATGAATGGAGGAGAGGCGATGTCGCCTCCCGTGTGTCGAGCCCATTAAGCGAAACGCGAAAAAAGTGCGTGTGAAATTTTACGCTCGTGCACGTGTCGTGCACAGGCGACCCAGCGACGCGATTCCAGAAAGTTGAAATATTTTCAACTTTTCATCGCTGTCGCTCGGACGAGGACCAATCAATGGAGGTTTCATTCACTGACCAATGAGCGGGCAGGATGCTCCGTACATCTCCGAGCAAACATGGAAGAGAAGTTGATACTTGCGTGATGGATTTCCCAGAACTGTACAATATTTCTACAAAAGAATTTAGAGATATTCACAAAAAGGCAGCGGCATGGGAAATTGTTGGTGCCAGAATTAACACATCAGGATCGTCCTTGAAGTCCCTCATTAAATGATGGCATAGACCCTTTTACTGCCTACATCACCAAAAGTTGCGCGCGCAGCCTGGCAACGAGAGTGAAGGCTTCCTCATTCACACTCGATACTAAAACAGCATTTTAAACCCTTTGTTTTGAAGTTCTGAGCACATAAGAATGTCGGGTTGTTTCATGTATGGATGCCAGAATCGCTTCTCTTCAAGCAGTGGACTGAAACTTTACAGAATTCCGAAGGGAGCACATCCATTTCAACAAAATCAGAGGCGTCTGTGGCTGCAGGCCATCAAAAGGGTTGATGAAAACTGGACTGAAAACACGATCCGAAATGCTCGAGTTTGTAGCGCCCATTTTATATCAGGTAAGGTAATTATGTACTAAGATTACACCAGAAAGCTGGTTAACGTGTGTTCTATTAAATAAAGTAAGTTGCGTTTGCTGGTTTGCTTTTAAGCAGTCTATTTATTTACATTTATTTACACTGCATATTAGTATAAACTGTATTTCTCTAAAATTAACACGATTGTACTCTTGAGCACGCTAAAAAAAGAAACCTATGCTATACTCACCCTGCCATGCAGGTACAGTTGGCTGTGAAGACGTAGTTCTCTGGTTTGTTTACTATGACCCAAGCCTCGTACATAGCAGTCTTGTGTCCTTGTCTTTGGCTAGGAAGCACTTCTGCCTTCAAGACGCAAAACTCAGAGTCTATGTCGTGATGTTTTACTTTCTGTACGTGGCCACAGACAACATAGTTGTATGCGTCTAACGATTTGTATGCCCGTAGCTTCTCACGTGTATACTTACTGGGCCTCTCCACTAAAAACGTATATATATCGGGCCACTGGATATCTGGCCACGCACCTACATCTTCCACCCATTCCGTAATGCCACAGGGATCCGGGAGTCTGTTGCCATTCGTTAAAGTGAGTTTAATAATATAATATTCATGATTTGCTGATGATAACCCCGCAGCGTAGCTTGATAAAGCCTGAAACAACGCCATTCTCTGTTGCCAAGCTGCGCGCGCATTCTCGCTGACGTCATATTGTTTACAAACAGTAAAAGGGTCTATTCTCCATTTCTTTCTCTGGTTTGTAATATGGGATGAACCCATTCCCGTTTTTTTTTAATATATAGTAAAATCAGAAGTAAGATTTCTCATAACTCAAGCAGCACCTTGTGAAACATCATATCTACCACTTTTTTTTTTAAACTCTGAACCGCTTAAATAACCTTAATTACCTCCAACCTGACACAGCCAATCAAAACAACAGAAGATTCGATTTCGCCATGGAACAGAACGCGTCGACGGCTTTGCCGCTGGCTGCTGCCACGGGTCCCCTCCCGTGTGTCCGGTAATAAAAGCGACAGCAACGAATTTCGCTGATCGCGGTCGTTTGTCGCCTCCCGTGTATCGAGCCCATAAATTGTTACTGACCGTATTGTGCTGATCATGGCCAGGCCCATCTCGACGGCGTAGCGGGCATGGGCGCGTTGAGGCTCAGGCACACCAGACACACAATAGTAACAGTCTCCCAGAATCTTTATACGCAAACAGTGGTGCTCCTGAGACAGGAAGTGCAGAAGGAGGGCATTGGAATGAAAATACTTTGGGGAAAGAAAAAGAGGCTTTAAAATCTCACCTCAGCTAGTCGGTCAAAGCGCCCAAAGAGCTCATTAAGGGTTCGAACCAGATCCTGGGCCGACAGGTTTATGGCCAGCTGAGTGAAGCATTTAATATCTGCAAAAAGGATGCTAGAGAAGACCGAAGCAAGAGGATAGGGGCAAAAAAAAAATCATCTTAAAGATGTGGAACACTCGTTTAATCAATATGTTTGCAGTGGACTCTAATGAATGCTGTGGAAGTTATACTAGGGAGGAAAAAGACCTGTGCACCATTTCCAGGAACTAGAAGTGGGTCCCATCAGAGCTGAGCTTCAGATATTTGGACATTTCGTCTCTGATTGGAGAACAGCAAACCACTCTACCATTGATTCAGATTGCTTTGCTGCGTTAATGTTCATAGTCCACAAATAACACAAGCCTGAAAGTATGCTGCTGTGTGATTAAGTTGCTAACGCTAACGGCTAGATTCTACCAGCCGAGACGTTCTCTGCGGTTTCCTGGATGCTAAACCAACAACAGCCTTCCCCGTCGCGAGCCAAGATGGGTGAGTCCATGCGACTGCTTGATCAGAAGAATCAGAATCAGAATGAATTTTATTGCCAGCGCTCCAGCGATCCAGAGCATAGGAACTTGACTCCACAGTACAACCTGACCAAGGTTTCACACACACATATAGACAGGACAGATACCGGCAGACCACGGGAGCAGCCATGACGGTGCTCCTTTTAGTAGATGAAGAGGGGAATACATGAGGAGAGTTCAGGGGAGGGAGAAAAAGGCATTAACAGGGTTACACGGCAGGGTGTAGCTCTCCAATGCAAAAAAACACCCAACATGTAAGCACAAACGTCACAGTTCACAACATGAGACCCGGTAGGAAGGGGGGAGGGGCTGGGACCCTGGTTTCTGTCAGGCTTTTCAAATCCTAGACTTTCACTATCTATTTTCCATCAGTAGCCGATGCAGGAGATAGATGTAGGAGACTATTATCATGTTCAGCCTGCATGAAAACTGACTGATTATAATCAGAAATAATCATTACAATTTTTTTTCAGTGAACCACACCTTTAAATATACATCTGAGAAATGATCTACTGTGCCCTTTGGTCCATCTACTGAGAAACATGCTCTCACTCTGTGTGTGACTGAGTTGGTAAGACCAGTACTTATCTCATTTCATCAGTCTTTCTGTAAACGACAACCCATCCCTGCCAGATTGACTCAGCCGTTCACAGATGTTGTTTATCAGCGTTCTGCTTGTCTCATTCATTTGCATTTCAGGCTGTCGAAAGATCTCACTTTCTGATTCTACCCCAATCTCAGAAGTGCTCTTCTGTCACCTTTACTCCTTATTCTACTTGTTCAGTTGGCTTTTCTTTTTTTACCAAAAGACTACCCTTAACATTTTTCAAAGGCTGACTTGATTCAGAAACCTGGAACCACAAAAGGAATACATAAAGGTGTCATAAATACATTTTTTATTTTGAGTGTGTGTGTGTGTGTGTGTGTGTGTGTGTGTACCTGACATCTTTGTATTGGTGGATGTAGATCTTGTGAAACTCTTGGGGGTTCAGGTCATCCTCCATGGAGCTCATGTCAGCAATCATCTCCAAGGCAACAAACTGAGGCAGGATCGACAGGACCAGGCGTTCCTGTCAGGCAAACTCGTAAAGTTATGATAACAAGTGACGACTACTTCAAAGGCTGACGTGATAGTCGTGATCGGATTTCCAAAACCCAGGAGTTCCTCTGGATCAGGAAGACAGACCAAGGCAGCACTTATTTACCTGTCTCTGGTTTTCTTGCTCCAGTTTGAGGCGACCTTCAATACAACGCCGGGTCTCTAGGAAAACCTGTCGCTGCACGTGGTCTGTAAGGTAGTGGATGAACAAGCCAGCTGTGTTCATACCCAGATACAGCAGGCCTTTGGCAAACACCTGCATCCGAAGAGTTCACACATAACACACATGCTTTATTTCACAGACCAATTTGCACCTCCTGAGCGAGTCCGGTTGAGTCTTTTACCTTTTTCAAAAGCACTGCATCACTGTGGTATTGCACTATCTCCAACATAAGGTGCAGGATTGAGGTAAGGAAGCCGGCAAACATGGCCCACAGGAGAGGTAATGGCAGCAGGGTGTATGTTGCAAACAAGGTGAACAAAACATACCAGGAGGGGTCTTTTTCTAGTCCATATACGAGCCCCCCCAGGATCTGTGTGGTTTGTGACAACCAGCTGGCAAGGCCAGCGTAGTGGAGCCATCGTGGGGACATCGAGTCCTTGCAGGTTAACACTGTCATGCACAAAACTGCTGCCAACACCATAAAGATGCATGTCAGGTGACCACGTAAGGTGTCAGTGGCAGCATCCGGGGCCAGGGCCAGATAAAGGACTAACGTGTTTAATTTGATGACAGCATCAATCACGTTAGTGATGGCTAAAGAGTTGCGTCTCTGATGAGAGGAGTACTGCTGGTAGAGTTTCTCTACGTCACGAGACTTGAAGGTTTGACCCAGCATGGGTATGAAAACCCCAAAGATAGTTCTACCCCAGTGCATGAAGAAGTCGGCGTCGCTGGTGTAGCCCTGAGCAGAACCCTTCACACTGCAGTTTGTGGTGGTGGAACCACGACCCTGGCCTCTGAATGCGGAGAGGCGGCGCTTTGTGACTCCACGCGAAGCCTTGCTGCGGATTTGTGCATTGATTTCTTCTATGTAGGCATCTGTCACAAAGATTTTGTGTGCAGGTTCCACACCCACCTGTCAAAAAGGGTAAACCACTAGAATGTAATGGTCCAGCTCTGACTCGAAACTCTCAAAATCTATGGGGCATGGACAGTTTTCACTCAGATCAAATAAAGAATTTACCATTCTTACACATAAAAGTCAAATCTGGATGATCAGTTCAGTCACCTGAGCACTGAGCTCCTGCTGGATGATGATGTGCTTAACAGCGTTCTGCCACAGCCTCTTTTTCCGCCTGAGTCCTGGAGACAGCGAGGCGTTCCCACATGGAGGTTCCTGCAGCTCCACAGGGGACACCTGCCTTGTGTCAGCAAAGGTCACCATGGTGATGACCTTAGCTGGCATCACCTGTTGGTTCCAGATCAGGAGCGGTTGGCTGAAAGAGGATTGAAAGATGATAGTAACAAGATTTGGACGGAAGTACCGAAGAAAATAATTTAAAATCTGTCATTTCCTTATTATTTTTTATTGAGGCCCTGTCCACACGTAGCCGGGGATCTGCCAAAACGTAGATATTTTTCTACGTTTTGGCCTGTCATCCACACAAAAACTGATCTTTTTAAAAACTCCGGCCAAAGTGAAGATCTGCATTTTCTCCGTTTTGGGTGTCTGCGTATGGACAGACAAAACCGGAGTTTTAAGGTCTGCAACGTCACTTTCCGTGACAAAAAAATGCTGACATCACATGTGCGACCTGTGTGGATGCAAGTTTTTGGAGGAGCGGATATTCGTTTTTAAAAAAAACCCGGCTACGTGTGGACTAGGCCTAAGACACCAGATTGTTCTAAAAATGTAGTTTCCATTGACAACAAATGTTTCAGTATGTTCTTTAAATTCCTGATGTAGCATTAAGCAGATCTTCATTAATATTTCTAACTGCTTGTTCTGTCTGATTCTTAGTATGAAGCAGCATAAAGTTTGGGATGTCATCAGTTTCTGGGTTCCTGATGTGTTTTTTAGAATCAATCAATCAATCAAATTTATTTTTAAAGCGCTTTTCAAACAAAGTGTGATTCAAAGTGCTTTACAAAATGACCCCAGATTCCCATAACAGGTTAAAAACATTAACAAACATATGCAAGCACACGCACACACACACACAGACTCACACACACGCACACACAAGTAAAAATTATATTAGGCTGAGTCCAGATGAGCCAAGTATGGTAACGCAAGGAAACGCCATCAGAGGAGCCGTCTGCCCCGGCAGCATCAGGTCTTCCACACTAAATCAGGGCGCTCAGTGGAGGGGGAGCATAGACCCCCTCCACTGAGCGCCCTGGAAGCTACAGTCGACCACCGCTCCCGGGGCAGAGGGCCCCCACAGAGGAAACACTGGATTAAAATGAGTGAAAATGTAATAAAAGAGCTAATATAAATGACAAAAGTTAGATAATAAGTAATAAATAAAATGATATAGACAGTAAAATAATAATTTAAATAATAAAACTGTGCTAAAGTATAATTATATAGAACATGCAAAGCAAGTAATAAAATATAATCATGTAAAACGAGGAATAAAACTGTAGTAAATATTTAGATGAAAGCTAACCTAAAAAGACGGGTCTTGAGTCTTGACTTAAAAACATGAACGTTCTCTGCAGCCCTGAGGTCCTCTGGCAGCTCGTTCCAGAGGCGAGGGCCAAAACACTGGAAGGACGCCTCGCCGTGAGTGTGTGTCCTGACTTTAGGGATGACCAGGAGACGCCTGCCAGAGGAGCGCAGAGGCCGCGAGGGTTCATATTGTAAAAGCAGCTCTGATAGATAAGAAGGCCCAAGACCGTTAAGACACTTAAAAACCATTAGAAGAACCTTAAAATGGATCCTGAAACATACGGGGAGCCAATACAATGATTCTAAAACTGGTGTCATGTGCTCCCGCCTCCTGGTCCTGGTTTCCAGACTTTCTACGAAGGTTCAATCAATCAAGATGAATTCTACTGGACAACATGCAACGAAAGAAATATCTCCACCATCATGTTTCCCAGATACATAATGGTATCAATCCAAAGGAGGATTTCTTGGTTTATGCTATGTTCTTTATGGAGCTTTTCTACCCTAGTGCACATTAACAATTGTGAGAGAGGTGCTTCTCATCAAGTTATAATAGTTCCATCATCAATACAAAACATGTTTATGAAGTTCTTTGCATAAAATGCCTCTCACATGAAGCTATTTCAGCTGTTTAGTGCTCAAAGTTTCAGTACCTTGATGAGTGAGCTGTTTCAGGGCTTGGTTACTTTAAGTAAACAAGCTAGAGTCTGTAACACCCACCCAATCCCCCGCTCTGGTTGCTATGAGCTGAGAAGCTCCGATGTTTGGAAGGGGCTCAGAGTAGAGCAGTTGCTGCTACAGAATCAGTTCTCTCTTGCAGGTGAGAGGTGGATCTTTGTAATTTTGCTTTTTGTGACATCACAAATGTGGACATTTTAAAATGGGTTGTTTAAGGTACATAATTCCTAAAACACTGACATAAAATTAATCAATGGAATTTTTTTAAAAGTTATGTAGAAATTAACTAAAAATTACATCCTGTGGTAAAATTTGGTTACTGCAACCACTTTAAACTATTCTGGAGCTTTTTGACGGCCGTTGTCAAATTACAGTTGTCGGCACTGCAGTATTAGTTTGCAAGAGATACGGTAACCCCACACACACTAATGGTAAACAGTAGTTACATCCCTCCTTCCTTTGTATTGAATGAGAAAAACTGACCATCCCCAAAGCCAGCTGGATATGAAACATGTTTCAGTATAACCTTCCTTCCAGAATGACAGAAACATTAAACTCTTTTGGAATTTTCTCACTGTAAAATTCTCACTATATTCTTACATACAGCATATTTAAAGTGTTTATAGTAGAGCCTCACATGGCAGTACAAAAGGTGAGCTTTGCACATATGTCCCTTTTGAGTGATTCCTATAAATAATGATTGCAAAAGGCATGAAAATCTTTGTTATCTTGAGACAAATTTCAAACAAAAATTAGGCAAATCAAACTATATATATATATATATATATATATATATATATATATATATATATATATATATATATATATATATAGTGTTTTAAATCTTTATGAGATTTCTGGAACAAGTTTTGCTCGCAGACTCCAAGTGGCTCTACACGTGGACACAATCTGCACCTGAAGTAAAAGGCAGCTCTCAGATGAATTATCTGGAGGCCAGAATTAGCCCTGAGCTGGTTTAATGCAGAGTTCAAATTCTGCAGGTCCTTCTGGCTCCTCAGGCTACGGTCCACACTTCTGTTTTGTCACTAGATTCACAGGTTCAGAAACACTTTGAAGCAAACGCTGCAAGTCTGTCACGGTAGAAAGAGCACGTACTGTGAGACGTTACATTAGGGAGGCTACATTTGGTCTGCACTTTTAACTTATTGTATTAATTGTGGAGCCTGAATCTGCACAGCACTGACCTGTCTTCCTCTACACGTCGTGTCTCCACTTCTCATGTTCCAGCTTGTGTCATAACACAGATATATCCAGCTGGTCATAATCCACCTCGGCCGATTCCATTGCTCAGCATTTGTAGACGGGCATGAAAACACAGACATAAACCATAAAAGGAGAGAGATTATTTCCCGCAGAGATGAAGTGCAGAGCGTGATTTCTGCCCATCAGAGATGTGTGAACTCGTTCTGGCAGAACTGTAAGTCACCACCTGGACTCTCAAAAAAAAAAGAAGTCAACAACTGCTACAAAGAGGAGCTGCAGAGTGAAGAATGCTAATAGGATTAATTAGTCAGCAGGCACTCTCACTCACTGTCCTGCAAAGCTGAGTCCACTGACCCCAGGACCAGGCCACGATAAAAGTAATAAGGTTTTAATTTACTTGCATTCTGATGGTACACAGGTGATGTCTGTGCAATTAAACATAGAAGGTGACACGATGTTAGGTTTTTGAAAGCTCTGCCTACATGGCTACTGTGCAAAACCAAAGAGGCTGATTCATATTGAGCTTTACTATGTAAAGGCAGCAACAGTTTTAATGTTTCTGGAGGTGATAAAACTTAATAACATAAATTATACATACTTTATATTCTATGGTTTGACCGAACCTCATTAACAATACAAAGAAACAGGGAGGAAACATAAGCAAATAAATATGAGTGAATATTAGAGCAACAGATCTAAAATTATTAAAGAAAAAAATCTCTCTTGCTTTCTACCTCCAGCAGGTTTGTGGTCTGCATGGTGATAAGCTGGTTAAAGTTTCTGAGATCGCTAATTGTTTCCAGGCAACCCTCAAAGCCCCCTAAGACTGATCTAATGTGTTCCCATCTGTCTCCGTGTGACTGAATAGAGACCTTTCATACTGATTACTGAGCCACTAAATATAGCCTTCAGGTCTGCAGCACGTAAAATGATGCCTCATCGGCATCAATCGCCAACCACAGCAACATAATATAGACCCACTGATGTGTTTTCAACACCAGGAGGAGAAAATCAGTGTGAGTTGTTCTGTCAACATGTGTGCAATGCATTCAGTTCAAAGTTTCACCCACATGGGAGAGGATTTATTCCGGTATGGGCAAAAGCCGTGAAACTACTTAGTGTTAATGCTAACTGCTTTGGATGTTCAGTAATGAGCTCATTCCTATCTGTGCTGAAGCCAAACCAACAGCAGAACTGACCCCCATGGCCTGTGAATCCTCCCCAAACATTACATTGATACCAGACACACAAATCTATTTGTGTTTGTTGGCGTGCTTCAGTAATCGCCCTGCTAATTCTGTAAGAGGCGGGAGTGGCAGCGTGCAGGTCAGCATGCAGGTCATGTAGGGACAACGTGGACTTTATTGAGGAAACCCCTCTTTTAATCCTTATAGGCTCATATTCTGATAAGCCTCGGAGCTTTTAAGATCGTTCATTGCCTCACCGTCAGACAGTAGCTAAAAATGCTACAGTATGTTAGCTTTGGCCAGATTTTAAGATCATCCTCTCAATACTCTAGTGCAGGATAGGCAGGAGGAGTGTAACTGTGTCCCGTTTAAGGTGTGATAGCTGGTGTTCACACATGTTTTCTGTCCTTAAAAGCCCCAAAACAGAGGATTGGCGCAAAGATATTGCATTGTCTCAATGTAAATGAATGCAGACCGAAAGTCGATTCACAGTTGATAGGAGTAAGGTGGATAATGACTCCAAACGTGAATACATTTCATCCATCTGAATTCTATCAGTGTTTGGTAGGAATCATGCCTAAAACTAGCCGTTAAAAAAAAATCTCATTTGTGATGTCTCAATCTGGAAAATTAGAGCAACCATGCGCAAATGAGAGCTGCAGCTGGAGAAGTAGAAACTCTACTACTAGCACCTCACAGATATCAGAACTTTTCAGCTCAAAGCAGCCTGAGAGGGGATGGGTGGGCGTGGCCAGCTCCAGCTTGTTTTCTTAAAGTGACAGATCCCTGAAACGACTCATTCTGGAAGGTACTGAATCTGTCAAGCATAAAATAGCTGAAGTTGCTTTATGTGAGAGGAATTTTGTGCAAAGAACCTCATAAACATGCTTTGCATCGACATTCGAATTATTATAACTTAAGAAAAAAGTCTTAATATGTCCCATTTATAAACGTTTCTTTGACTTTGGCATCATTATATGAATTATTATCTGCAGATTAAACCATCTTTTCAAGCTTTATGAGTTTTTTTCTTAATTATGTGAATGTTGAACAACCCAGTGAAGTTTGAATGTATTCTATTTGTTTGCTAAACATATTCACTGTTTTTTTTTAATTAATTTTGAGTAAACGTTTTTAACGAAATCAAAACTCTCTTCTCCACTAACCGATACCACTTGAAAGCTCAGGTAAAAAAGAAAAATGACAGAAAAGAGAGAAATAAAACTATGGGAGTACTCAACCATTCATGAAACATTTGTTTTCCGAACAAAGATTCCTAGAGCTATAATGCAGCAGTTAATTTAGGGAAAACTGCAAACATGTAAGCAATCAAGCAAAAGTTCTATGGTTATTCCAGCAGGATAACACCCTGTTATGTAACAAATGAGTATTAGTTGGTCCAGGTCTATATCTTATTGAAGATGACACAATTAGGAGAAGAATCAGGCAACATTAAATATGGACTGCTGAGCAGCTAAAATCAAGTATGGATGCAGAATTTCGTTGCCAAACAGCATTAAGCAGTATAATTAAATGTGCAAACAATTAAAATGTGTAAGTAAAAGGAAGTCCAAGTAAAAACATAAATGAAAATCCCTTTATCCTTTCCAAATTATTATTTTTTAATTATATATGTAAATGTTCGTGCTGATTCAAGAATTGTCTAATTTTAAAGAAATTTAAAAGTTTGGTAAATGCACGTCCTAATTAGCAAAATTAATGTCTAAACCGTCTAAACCAATTTCATATTCAAGTAATTTGTCACATTTCTTGATTTCTGTTTATTTTAGTTAACTACACCGTCAGATATCAATTAAAAACTCTGTAACTGTTATTTTTAGATTTTTTTGTTATTAATTATAAAAATTACAAATCTTGATTTTCTATATTTTAATCAAATCTAGTAGACCAGCATTGCTGTTGGTGTCTAGTGCTGGGCTGTCACTGCTAGCTTTTAACACTTGGGAGCTAAGAGGAAATCACGCTTGCTGAAGCTATTGGATGATGCCATGGTTTAGCTGAACTCAAAGTTACATTTATTTATTCCTCGTTTGCACTTAAAGGATTTAGATTTTTTTAACATTTCATGGTAAGCTACAAATGGTTGTATTCATATACGCCCTGATAAGGATAGCTGTGATGTTAGCTACGCTCGTTAGCACACCTTGTAGCCCTGGTAAAATTAACTAACAACAATAAATGTGGTTTATTTTGGTAAAGAGCTTTTTATACTTGGAATATAAAGTTTCTGTTTTACTGTTTACTACCCGTACAGGTCTACGCATCGGTGGTACGCGTTGTTATGGTGACAGGAAGCTATGCTATGCTAGCTTTGATTAATTTCTATCACTTGTAAAAAATTAAAACCCCTCGTCTTGGCAGTATTTAAAATTAACTTTTTATTAATCAAAGTATTTTAGAGTTAATTCAAATATATTCATGTTTAAAGAACATCTGCTTGCGGTTTAGCTAATTTTCGCGTGCAAACTTCAGCAGGCCGAAGACAAGCCTGCGGTTTTCCTTATTCTCGACGTCCCGGTGGAGGCTCAGTTCAGCGCGGAGGCACAGCCCGACTTTCCGTCTCTTTTAAGCTGGAGGAACAACGCCGCCTTGTGACTGAAACTCAACATGACAGGTGAGTTACATCCAGTTGCTTACATTTTCTCCATCACATCCGAAATACTTCATTTATTTCTTCCAAAGGATGGAAAAATTAAAAAGTAGAAGTTGTCAGACAGATCAAAAAGTACCACCTTAAAGAGAATGTTTTATGGGTGAAAATGTACCTTAGTATTCCAGATGTGTTCGATATGCCTAATCCTACAGGTGGATATTATATGAATTTACACAGACATTCCCAAGCAGATACTTTCTCCTCAGTTGCACCCACACACATCCAAGGGCACATTCCCAAAACTCCAAGCCCACTGACTGAATGGCTGTCCCACGGTATCCCAACTTCTCTCCTCCCTCTTCTCTTTGTGGTTGGATAGTAAGGTCCATTGTGTCTCTGATATGTTTATTAATGACTCACAGTGGAAGCAGAGCTGCTATTGAAGGATTTGCTGCTAATCTCCATGCTAATGCGGACAACTTGCCTATGTACTGATATGCACGACTAAGGAGCCTTGGGGCAGGGATGTAGAGGTTTGTGTTCAGAAAAGGCTTGCGGTGGATTTCTGCAGTTGTCCTGATTGAAGAGGGCGTAAAGTTAAGTTTTTGTTATCTTTAAAAGTAATCGGTGATCTGAGGTCTGTCAGTTTGAGTTTTATGTAAAAGTTTTGGCTTTAGTTTTCACTGAGTTTGGGAAAGAAATTAGTGTGTGTGCATGGCTGAAATGCCCTTGCCTGCGCCTGATGTCCCAGCCAGTCAGAGGCTGGCACTGGACTGCCGTACCCTTCTGGACCATCGCGTTGGCAAGGGTGAGAAAACAAACACCACCTCCTCTGTTCTTTCTTGCTCAGGAACATGGACAGAGAAAAATTTTGTTAGAAATTATTTAATATTTATGATTTTTTTAAAAAGCGTCCTGTAGCTAATCAATATTTTCTTTGAGAATTCAGTTTGACTGAGCTGCCTCTATGTGATGTTCAAATAACTTAATGTATTGATTTCTTCATTTTGATAAATCAGACAAGTCACTCAGTAAACATTACTCAAATAAAAGAATTTTTTTTAAGGATTTTTGTAAGAGGAATATTTGATATCCTATCATGGTGTATTGATCAAAACTGCTGGCATGCAGTCGCAAAGAAGCTGCGATGAAACCAATATTTATGAAATGTGATAACTCACTATTAAGCCAGCTAAAAAGCTCTAGATGCTTTATAAATGATTTGATCTAAAATAAATGTAGGTTATAGTACAGCTCAATGACTATTTTTTATAGGTAGTCGATCCATGAAGAAAAATTTTTGAATCTAAATCTGTTTTTGCCATTAATCCAGATAAAATGACTTCCAAATTTTTCTTCGACCAGTCTCGATACAGCTCCCTCTCTGGCAGCTCAGCTCATCCATTAACTGTAAAATCAAACTTTATGATTCTATTAGTTTTAGCTCATCCTATAATCTGTGACATTTTTTCATAGTTTCTTTTTAAGTGCTTGTGGTGAATTTTGAAATTCATGCTATATGGCACCTAACCTTTTTACTTTATTATCGTTGTTTGTTTCCCTTTGAAGTTTTCTGTTTAGAACTGTGTTAAATTATATATCAAAATCAGTTTTGGGCTCTTGTAGTTTCAGGTTTTTATATCTGGGTAAGTGAGTATCTGAACTAGCGGTTGACCGGTATTGGTTTTTCTATTATCGATGCCGATATGTAGAGGTCATGGTCAGCCGATGGCTGATATGCGCTGACCATTCGTGGCCGATAAGATGTTTCCACCTCTGTCGCATGCAGTGTTTCCTCTACATGGGCCGAAATTCTAGCGCTATGGCTATGAAATCAAACCCCCACCCCCCACCCCCACCCCCAGCTCTCACAGCCGATGTTGGTACAAGATCTGCTCGGGTGCAAGATCGGCTCAGGGTCCGTCGACTGCCCATGACGTCAAAGTAGTTGATTGGCTGAACATGAACCTTACGGAATTACGTAATTACGTTACGTTGTTATCACGTTATGTTGGTCCAGGCAAATTTTTCTGTTGGAAAGATGGACAACTTTTACAAAGAAATCCATCATTACCTCTTTGAAAATACACTTTTAGCATAGAGCTGCATGTATATTAGGGCTGAACGATTAACTGCATGTGCAATTAAATTGCGATGCGACAAAAGGAGATTTTCTAATCGCAAAGGCTGCAATTTGGTAGCAAGTGGTTAGCGCAATGCTAATATACATGGAAAAACCCATAGGAATGCTAATGCTAATATCACCGATTACATTCTTACAAATTATGAATTAGAAACGTGCCAAATGATTACATTTGGAGTCTATTAGAAAGTAAAACTACCATCAATCAAATAAGTACAGACAGGTATTTTAGTAAGGCCAGAAAACTTTTAACTCCAGAGTTTTGGCTAGCAGCTATGAGCGTAACTGAACTACGCATGGACAAGATGTCAAAAACTAAACACAAAATACTTCAATAAACGGGACACACTTCTTTCCTGCAAATACAATTTCACAGGTGTTGCTAATACCTATGATCCTTCAAGGATGTGCTCAAAGAGGAGTTCAACATTATGAATACAATATAGTGTTTTATTTTACAAATACCATTATAAACACAAACTTACGTCTTAAGAAACATTATTTTAACAACAAAACTGCTAAATTCTTTCCAACATTAAAGATGTGTAGTGTATTTTGTCCGAGTGGGTTTGCCGTACTTTGACGTCATCGGCAGTCGAAGGACCCCGAGCCGATCTTGCACCCGAGCAGATCTTGTACCGACACCGACGCACGGCACTGAAACGATCCGCGCTCTATTACTTCCTTCCTTGCTCTTGTGGCAATAAAACAGTCGGGGAATAAGACTTTTAATTAAAGTTAGTGAAACAAATTAATTAACTGACCAACTATTAAAAAATTCAAAATTAATACATAAAAAAATATTTGTTGAAAATGATTTTTTATAGCATTTATTTTGCAGATATTGTTCAGGAATGTAAATATATATTTAAATTAAATTCTGCAGCAGCACCGGGCTGCCCAGGGATGTGCCTTATTTAAATTGGCTTTACTAAGAAGGTAAATCGGCCTATGCTGATATATAAAACATGGTAAATATCGGCCCAATATATTGGCCAACCGATATATCAGTCTCCCCTTAATTGGAACAATTAATCTTTAGGTCGGGATCTTTTAAAATGGATTTCCTTAATTTTTCTGAACTTTGGAGAGAGATGCTACGAGATATTTTGATACTTAAAAACCAGACTGAATATAACAGGTAAACTCAGGCCGCACGCTTCCAAGACACACCCAGTTGTATCGCGAGATTTCACTGTTCAATTAGAATGAAGGCAGAAAAAAGTGCTGCCACCTAGCGGTTGGAGTTTAAATTGCACCACGTAAAAAATACAGTAAATGTTTGCCATAAATATCGATTCAGTATCATAACACTAAATATCGCAACATTTCAGTGTAATATTTTCTTTCATGTCTAGTGCAATTATATAAAATTCACAATTTGTACGTAGTTATGTAATCATACATTTTTTACAGTATCCAAACTCGAGTTGGTGTGCTATTTAAAGCTGCTCTGATATATTTAATGTTTCCACAGAGCAAAGATTGTATCTTATATTAGTCTTAAAAAAAAGAAGAAACAGAAAATATATTTTGATTGCTTGCTATAAGGCATCAAAAGAAAATTTGGTGCAACGGGACAAATATTTTATAAAAAGAAAGGAAAGAGTGACACTGGCCAGAAGGGGGAGAAAGATGCATGGGAGGGAGGATTTTCCCATTTGATTATCTGGTGTTCTCAGTCGCTCCCACTTTAAAAAAAAGTCTCCTCTGTAACACATTTATTATACATGAGTTTTATGTTTGCATGTGAACTTCTGCGCCGAGAAGGAAAGCAGTTGCAGAAGAACGGGGAAAATCCAAGGTCATCACATACCGTGCTTTTCTCTGACGTCTTTTAGCCCATCTCTCTCTCTCTCTCTCTCTCTCTCTCTCTCTCTCTCTCTCTCTCTCTCTCTCTCTCTCTCTCTCTCTCTCTCTCTCTCTCTCTCTCTCTCTCTCTGTGTGTGTGTTTGTGCATGGCAGAGAGAGAGTGTGTTACTGTGTAATTCATAGCGTCGAACCTCACTCTGCACCAATCACTGTGCACGTTCATCTGCTTTTTCGCTCCTAACACATGTGCAGGCATTTATCCCTGACTGAGCTGCGTGTGTGTGTATGCATAAGTGTGTGTGTGTGTGTGTGTGTGTGTGAGTGAGTATCTCCAGTGCCTCTCAGCACAGCGGCATGCCTGAATGAGGAACTGAAGCTGCATTAAGGAGAAATATAAATCTTTTGTGCGAGATTCCCAATCACGATCGATGTACGGTAAGAGTGACAACCTTTTTTTTCCCACCGGGCATTAATGTGTGTGTGTGTGTGTGTGTGTGTGTGTGTGTGTGTGTGTGTGTGTGTGTGTGTGTGTGTGTGTGTGTGTGTGTGTGTGTGTGTGTGTGTGTGTGTGTGTGTGTGTTCTGAACCATTGAAGAATGTGAGTAATGCCATTGTATCGCTCAGCCAGTTCTCCAACATTCTTCAAAACATGCTTTTTCCTCTTTCTTGTAGTAGATTGCAGCCGTTGTCACAGTGTAACGTCTGCTGACAAGTGCTTTATGGGAACTTGGTCTCTTACGAGGATTTATCTGATTACGTGATTAGATTGGGAGAAGACGCCGCTGTGAAGATGTGCATTTTCTGTAATACACATTTGATTTACTCATACTGTTCTTCTGTTATCGATGAGGGACTAATAATGCTTCTGAGAAAGTGAATTACGTTGTGGTGATGTAGTTGAACTCTTTATAAGTAACATTTTCTTTATGATTATAGTTGTACGTGTTTCCATAGTTACCATTTACCTTATCTTTGGGGTTACTATTCATTGATTACTGCCGATGAAAAACATGTTCATATTTTCTGTGTAAGGTAAGTGACTGGTGAAAATGGCAGTTTGGATTTGGAGTATGGATCTCTGTGTTTGAGTGCCCCTTAGCTCAATTTTAGAGGCTGTTTGACACTGATTCATAGTGTGTCAGAAAGGCTTTATGTCATAAGAATTTGTAGACTGCTGGGTCGGATATCACTTTGTTGGTTTCTTAATAATGCTTCAAAACCAACTCGGTGCGCCTCGTGGGCAAAAGATGTATATTATGTACATGTTTCTGCCATGTGTATTTAAATGGATTTGTAATTATATAAACTCAAGATGCCTCTTATATTGTCATGTCTAATACTAGTATTTCACTGAGATGTGATCGTTAGCGACTAATAGATTAAAATTTGCGAGAAAAGATGTGATTTTATTTGGTATCAAACTGAATTGGGATGGATGACACTTGAGCGAAAAGTTTTAGGTATGGTTTGGACTCATTGACCTTATGAAGTAGTTAAAAAAACATATTGTGACAGTTGTGCAAATGTACATGTTGCAATTAAGTCAGAAATTGCCCCAGACCCTGTTCACACGTAGCCAGGTATTCCTTAAAGAGCAAGTCACCCCCTACCAGAATCTTACTCCACTCCCACTTCCTGTTTGAAAAATGCAACAAATGCTGTTGCCTAGCAGACCGAGACGGCAGAGCCACTAACACACACACACACGCACGCACGCACGCACGCACGCACACACACACACACACACACACACACACACACACACACACACACAGGCTCATAATGACATTGTGACATCATATGGTACAAGCTAACGTTCTAGGGTGCCTCTTAGCCAATAGCAATGGCAGATT